CACCTTGAGATATAAGTTCTAAGGTCTCAAGTGTAACTACAACGGCTACCCCACCCTTTAAACCGAAACGCATTACTGCTTCGCGGCACAAATAGGCAGGGTGGTGGTACCCACCCGCGAGGACTCACAAGAGGTCCTACCACTAGTAATTATGCCTTAACAGCGTGTTTTGAAATTTATTAACCTCTAGGGTATCAGCGATGGTGCTGGAGCACTGGTGCTTGTCAGCGAAGAAGCCGCCAAGAACCTAAAGCCCCTCGCTCGCCTCGTGGGCTGGGCATATGTCGGAGTGGACCCCAGCATCATGGGCATTGGGCCTGTGCCCGCCATCGAGAACCTTCTTAAAGTCACCAAACTCACCCTCAATGATGTCGACCTTATTGAGGTTAGTTTGAAATACAAACGCCAAAAGTATGATAATGGGCAGACATGATCCAAACGCTGCTTGAATAATTTCAAGAAATTTGCAACCAGACCAAAACCAGTCCGTTCCTTTCAGACATCCAATTACTCACACTTGACACACTCGGTGGCTTAGTTGTTGGTGCCTCTGGAATAAACAGGTTTTTTGCTCAGGTTTTGGTTTCTTTATTATTTATAAATGTATTTGACGGTTAGCGTGGTATGGACATGTGATGCGTAGAGAGAAGATGCATGTGACTAGGAGATGTATGGAAATGGTAGGGCAAGGTAGAGGGGGAAGAGGTCGACCGAAGAAGACATGGCTGGAGTGTGTGAATGACGTTATGAGAGAGAGAGGAGTGAGTGTTGAGATGACGGCTGATAGAAGAGAATGGAAGAGAAAAATTAGCTGTGCCGACCCCGCCTAGTGGGATAAGGTGGAGAAAAAGAAGAAATGTATTTATTTAAAGATATATCAGGACCTGATTCTTATATTACAAGCAATCCTAGAGCAGACATTTTGCAGTGAAGTGCCAAAAAGTTAGCTACTATAAACACGTTATCTATCTCTAGAAGGCTACTGGAGCTCCTAGACTAATGAAAGGTCACTGTCTATAGTTATAAACGCTGCAGTTATTGGAATAACATTGAAATACCTTCAAATCGAACTGCTTGCTGCCAGTGTAGGTCTACTTTCTACTATTACTGGTACCCAAAACACAAAACAAAGGTTCTGTTAAGTACAGAAATAAGTTTTCTACTCTGGAGGATGGGGAGCAGTAGTGTTTTAGAAGGTAGGGATCTGTTAAAATCGATTAGACTTTTCGAACCTTTGGTTTTTTTTTATTGCTTATATGGGTCGACGAGCTCACAGCCCACCTGGTGTTAAGTCGTTATTGGAGCCCATAGACATCTTGAGATATAAGTTCTAAGGTCTCAAGTATAGTTACAACGGCTGCCCTTCAAACCAAAACGCATTACTGCTTCGCTTCAGAAATAGGTAGGGTGGTGGTACCCACCCGCGTGGACGCACAAGAGGTCCTACCACTAGTAATTAATTGTCATAGTGATGGTGATGTAAGTTGTTTGATGTGACGCAGATCAACGAGGCCTTCGTGGCTCAGACGCTGTCGTGTGCCAAGGCGCTGAAGCTCGACATGAGCAAGCTGAACGTCAACGGAGGCGCCACCGCGCTGGGACACCCGCTCGGCGCCTCCGGCTCCAGGATCACGGCGCACCTCGTGCACGAGCTCAGGTATACACCACACACCCCTTTTTTTTTTCCTACCTAAGCTGATAGCCTTGAGAGGCTATATCAACGGAACCTTAACTAGTAGGTGAGCTCGCGGGGCTCAAACCTGATGACGTTGCTAACACGAACCCTAGCAAGAGCAGTGCTTCGCAGAATCTACCACCAGATCACTCATTGGGCTCACCCTAACTGAACCCACCAGACGACCTACAGAGCTGCCGGAATGAATTTGCAAACTGCGCGCAATGTATTTCGATTAAGAATCAGCTGGTGGTAGAAGTCGTCGTGGCCTAAAGGATAAGACGTCCGGTGCATTCGTGTTGAGCGATGCACCGGTGTTCGAATCCCGCAGCCAGGTCCCAATTTTTCTAATGAAATACTTACTCAGCAAATGTTCGCGATTGACTTTCACGGTGAAGGAATAACATCGTGTAATAAAAATCAAACCCGCAAAATTATAATTTGCGTAATTACTGGTGGTAGGACCTCTTGTGAGTCCGCATGGGTAGGTACCACCGCCCCGCCTATTTCTGCCGTGAAGCAGTAATGCGTTTCGGTTTGAAGGGTGGAGCAGTCATTGTAACTATACTTGAGACCTTAGAACTTATATCTCGAGGTAGGTGGCAGCATTTACGTTGTAGATGTCTATCTGTTCCAATAACCGGTAATTTATTTATTTATTTATTTATTTATTTATTTATTTATTTATTTATTTATTTATTTATTTAATACAAGGAGAACCAACAGCCAACTAACAAAGTAAAATAATATAACAAATAATAGAAACAAAAAGCCAATTAAAGGTTCTCACCAATATAAACAAATTAAAAACACTAGAGAAACAAAAGCATAGAAACAAAAAAAATAATTAAAAACAATCAGCAAGCAAGAAACAACATAAGGAATGGAGGAAAACACCAGACTAATTTAAATGTACACTTATGTATAAATGTCACAAATTAATTAAAAACTGTTGTGCTACACATCACCGGCACATGGCCCCGCACCCTCTGCCCCCTCATCGCCCACGAAAAATCGGGCACTAAGCTGACGTCTAAGTCCTGTGATAGAGGAATAAAATGGGTCAATATCTAAGAACCTGCCAAGTCTGTTGAGGTCACCACCAACACGTAAAAAGAATGAGTTTTGCCTATAGTTAGTGGAAGCTAGTGGCAAAGNTTAAATATCTGTGAAATAAAATTTACATGTTTATAGTTAAGTCCTTACAACCACGTATTTTTTTAATATATAAGTGTAAATGTGAAAATTAGAAGAGACAGAAGAAATTATTAATAAAATAATCAATTTTCAATCGCTGTATCTTTATTTATTCCATCGATTTAATCGTTCTTAAATTAAGGAATAATTTATAAAGTTAAAATAATTCTTTGTTATTACCAATAGTATCCACGACCCTCATAAAAAGAAACACTACAACTTAAAAATCTACAGGGTCTACGTTGAGGGCATTAGGCTGACCTCTCAATTATAATAACATAGTATGTCTAAGCTTGGAGTTCAAAGTGATTTATGCTCCATAACTTAAATGGTACGGTGGTCTGAAGCCCTGGAGCTTTTAGTTAACATATGGATACTCCCACCCACCATCAAAACGGTACGCGACCGTGCCGCCTTCATTTTACGACGCCTTTATTCTCTGATTTGCAAGCGAAGTAAATTGTCCCTTCGTAATAACGTGACACTCTACAAAGCTTGCATACGCCCCGTCATGACGTATGCAAGCGTAGTGTTCGCTCACGCGGCCCGCACCAACTTGAAACCCCTTCAAGTCATTCAATCCTGTTTTGGCAGGATAGCCGTCGGAGCACCATGGTTCCTAAGGGACGTGGATCTCCATGATGACTTGAGCTTGATTCAGTAAGTACCTACAGCCGGCATAATTGCGCCACTTTGAGAAGGCGGCACGACATGAAAACCCTCTTATCGTAGCCGCTGGAATTCCATACCCAATCCTGTAGACCGAATGGTAAACAGTCGACGTGGCCTAAACACGTCATTACGGATCCTCCCGATCCATTAACGGTGCTTTTGGGTACCACAAGCACCGGTCACCGTTCTCGCCGAACCCGTCACTTGCGACGAAGGGGTCAACGAATAAATGAACCCACAGACACAGCTCACTGAGTTTCTAGCCGGATCTTCTCAGCGGGTCGCGATTCCGATCCGGTATTAGATTCATTCGCGAAGCAGCTGCTCCTGAGTTGTTAGGTCTCCTTTGGAGGCGCTCGGGCATCTGTTAAGAAATCACACCCCTCCTGTTTGAGCCTTCGCTCGTCCACCTGTCCTAGTGAAACTGGAAAGGCCTCCGGACCCTCCCTCATTCATAGAAAGAAAATAAACTATTATTTGCATACGAAATATCGGGAACTCATAAACTGAAATTGAATATGAATTTTTGAAAGAAATGTATGAATAATAATAACGAGCTGGTTACACGATGACACCGATCAGCTGGTCACGCATGGACATCTACGCAGAATGCCCGTGTTAGGCGGTGGACAGCGGGCGTCAAAGTACAACGGCATTTCAAAATATTGAAAAAAATCCAAGACCCGTCTTTAAGCATGATAATNGGAACTCATAAACTGAAATTGAATATGAATTTTTGAAAGAAATGTATGAATAATAATAACGAGCTGGTTACACGATGACACCGATCAGCTGGTCACGCATGGACATCTACGCAGAATGCCCGTGTTAGGCGGTGGACAGCGGGCGTCAAAGTACAACGGCATTTCAAAATATTGAAAAAAATCCAAGACCCGTCTTTAAGCATGATACACGTCATATGATATATACGAGATTTGCCAAAAATACCTATACTTAGATAAGGTTATCAACAGGGGCAGGATTTATGAATGCTATTGGGTACCCGGGACCCGACGACGCCGCGACGTATTATTTACAATGGATGTTCAACTATTAAAAAACATACTTTTGTGTTGTCCAGCTGGAGCACTGGGTATGAATACTCCAGAGGGTCCCACAAACAAGTTCGAAAAGGAATGGTAGCGAGCGAGGTGCGGACGTATTCTCGTGTGTATGCTTCGGTGGTTGCGGGTGAACTGTAGGGATGTAAGCCGGTTCGAAGAAAACCGATGAAAAGCCGGTTTTTATACATACCGATAAACACCGGTTTTTATTTAAGAATACCGGTTTTTAATTACATTACGTTACATTCACAATTCACACCAGTGCTACCAGATCAAATATACCTACAAGCTACCTAAAAAAAACCGTGTTTCAAACTCAAATTACCCTGCATTACATTTAAAAACTACAGTGCAATAACCACAATATGGTTGGTAGACTTTTAGCGTACTAAATGAGGAACGTGACCCTAATATCCACATATCTGCACCCAACACTCAGAAATGGCTTTCGCCAACCAGAGCACATGTTGTCTGCAAAAGAGATGGTGCGTCGTGAACTGGGAAATATTCTTAAAGAATTTTCAACTCTCGCTTTATCATCGGAACAGCCAGAAGAAACCACAAACAATTTTAAAAAGCCTGGTATTCTGGATTTTTTGCATTCGCGAAAACTGGATATTCCGAACGCCACGACGGCCGCAGTGAATATAGTGCGAATGTATATTGAGACTGAAGCCGCCAGAGGAAACCACACCGAAATTGCTGGCACTTTTTGGATCAGCAATACTCATTTAAGGCCTTTAAACAAAATAACATTTAAATACCTATTAGTACCAGCAACTTCTGTGCCTTCCGAACGTATGTTTTCGACGTCGGGGTACGTGCTAAGATCCAGAAGGAGCAGGCTTCTGGATGACGCAGTAGACCAACTATGCTTCTTGCATCAAAATTTTGATTTAATACAATAGTATTCAATCAAAAATATAAAGCTTTTTATTATTGGATAATATAAATATGATCATTAAAAGCCTATATAAAATATGCTCACCCAATTAATTGTATGAGAAGAAAACTTCGTTTGTTGTTGTTGACATTTCAATGTTTTTAATTGAGTTTCAATTAAATTTACCCTATTCAAATAGCTGAAGAAGCTTTTTGTTATGATATTCTTTCCAAATTTTAAACTTTAATTGGCTCGCGTGTAATGTTGCAAAAATGAAATGTTATTCACAAAGATTTGACTTTGATTTTGGTACCAAACATTTTTGGGAATGAGCGAATTAGGAAATATGTATAAGTATAGCGACAATCAGATTTTGAGGAGGCTACCTCCCATTGCTACACTCAATACGTGATATGACGATAAAGAAGAAACGAATTAAAAACACAATTCAGTCGTGTGGCCGGTCGACGCGCCAGTGCACGCGTACGTTTAACTGTTAACTCCAAAATGGCCGTCGCTGTCAACAAAGGTAAGAATGTTTACAAACTTTTGAATTAGGTCATTAAAAGTATTAAAACAATTACTACGTTGTATCATAGCTCATAGATTCGTCGCCATGCCCCCGCGAGGGTGCACGAGGATCCGTGATTAAATACGAACTAACTAATACACTTAAAGTACGGTCATCGTTCTCGTCGAACCCGTCGCTTGCGACGAAGAGCTCGGCGAGTGAATGAACCCTCAGACAGCTGAGACAGCCCACTGAGTTTCACGCCGGATCTTCTCAGTGGGGTTAGCAACGTCGTCAGGTTTGAGCCCCGTGAGCTCACCTCACTGGTTCGATGGATCTAGTATAACCCCTCGAGGTTACTTTATAGGTAGAAAAAAAAAACTTTACCAGCTACTTTACGAACTTAAACCAGAATTTTAAATAATAATATTACTTTTCATTACAAGATCTAATTTGCTACAAATTATTCAACATGACACGAGACCGAAGAGCAGCTACTTCGGACAAAGGATTAGTCTAGCTATTCAAAGAGGGAACGAAGCCAGTATCTTCGGAAACTTGCCTAAACTTTTACTCCTCCTTTTAATAATATATTTTAGTTATTATATTTGTTTGTGTATTGTTGTTCGGACATTGACGTATGAAGTATTTGTACTATATTTACAACATAAATTATGTTCATGATGGAGGAAATGATGAATTCTCGTTTTGGCCCGTGGAAAACCTTTCGGCGTTTTCTAAATTACGAAATGTGCACGGAAACTTTAAATTATTTTTAAGAAAAGAGGTTTTACTGATGGATTAATTATTGCAGAAGTGAACATTTTCATCAAAACTTCTTGATATTTGAAAATGTTACAAAGTTACTTGTGGTAGAGAGTACTGGAATCCCGTATGCGTTTTTTTTTCCTACCTAAGCCGATAGTCTTAAGCTATGTCAGCGTAACNTGTTCGCTTTCCTCCATTCTCACAAACACAGCTCGATCACTAAGAAAATCCGAATGAAACTGGCATCGGCAATCCGATTGCTGGTACTTGCGTCAGCAATCCGATCGCTGCCGATACAGTGGACGCAGTATGAAAAAATAATGCGGTTGATGCGATGCGTCCGATGCGTACGATACCGACCTGTGGACGCTTAGCTTTAAGTACGGTCATCGTTCTCGTCGAACCCGTCGCTTGCGACGAAGAGCTCGGCGAGTGAATGAACCCTCAGACAGCTGAGACAGCCCACTGAGTTTCTCGCCGGATCTTCTCAGTGGGGTTAGCAACGTCGTCAGGTTTGAGCCCCGTGAGCTCACCTCACTGGTTCGGTGGATCTAGTATAACCCCTCGAGGTTACTTTATAGGTAGAAAAAAAAAAACTTTACCAGCTACTTTACTAACTTAAACCAGAATTTTAAATAATAATATTACTTTTCATTACAAGATCTAATTTGCTACAAATTATTCAACATCACACGAGACCGAAGAGCAGCTACTTCGGACAAAGGATTAGTCTAGCTATTCAAAGAGGGAACGAAGCCAGTATCTTCGGAATCTTGCCTAAAGGGACTCCTTTTAATAATATATTTTAGTTATTATATTTGTTTTAGCCACCATAGCATTTGCAATATAGGTATTTATAACGTTTAAGATAGAAACTTTAAATTATTTTTAAGAAAAGAGGGTTTACTGATGGATTAATTATTGCAGAAGTGAACATTTTCATCAAAACTTCTTGATATTTGAAAATGTTACAAAGTTACTTATGGTAGAGAGTACTGGAATCCCGTATGCGTTTTTTTTTCCTACCTAAGCCGATAGTCTTAAGCTATGTCAGCGTAACCTAACAAGTAGACGAGCTCATGGGGTTCGAATCTGACCACGTTGCTAACACTGACCCTAGCAAGAGCAGTGCTTCGCATAATCTACCATCGGATTGGAAACGCGACCCACTGAGAAGATCCGGCGAGAAACTCAGTGGGCTGTGTCTGAGGGTTAATTTACTCGCCGAGCCCTTCGTCGCAAGCGACAGGTTCGACGAGAACGTGTATGTCTAGGAACCGCTATTCTACCGCGAAGCAGTGATACTGTCGTTATAGAATTCAATTAGGACATCGAACCCAATTCTTAAAGTGGCTACCCCACCAATTCACGTTGTCCAGGATAACAAATTAAAATCGGGTGAGCCATGAAGAAGCTCAGCAATCTATGCTCCGATTCTTCAAGACCCGGATAACGCCGCCAATTTGCTAGATGAAATAGGACAATATGTTCACTGGTTCGTAATTGTACAATCCAAGGACTACAATATAGACCAGAGAGCTACACAAACAACTCTTTATGAAAATATATGACGTGTTCCTTCTGAATTGATCACGTTTGAAACGGCAAGATTTATCTAGTTTAATATAATATAGACAATATTATGTATATTGTAACATAAAGAACCAGAACAAACACGAAACAAAGTGTTGAATAAATGTTTAGCCTACTATCTGATGATTGAAGAATCAACTGGTTTTTTAATCCTTAGTTCGCAAGTGCAGTATACTCGTATAGTAACTTATCTAGTTTCATTTCCATTTCAATATATCAATATTCGCATTGGTATTTTTATCTTCATATTACATAGCGATAAGATATATCAGGTTTTTGTAGGATTAAGTTGTTAAAAATACGTCGATCAAAGTTCAAAGGAGAGTGTAAATAATAGTGGAAAGTGTGCACTGTGTTGGAAAGGCTACAGATTTCTCTACTAATCTCTTGTTACATAGAGATCAATGTTAGCATAATATATGTTGCAGCATAAGACTGGCCGTGTAAGATCGACTCGAATCAATAATCGAGTACTTAAGAGTTTCTCGCATTTATAAATATTTTGTTATGAAACCGCATTATTAACACCATCGTCGGATGGGGGCGAATTGGGTGATCGAGTTCAGAGAAATATTGAGTACACAAAACACGTTGGTTGTCTTAGAACAATTTAGAAAATTTCTCTTGACATTAGCAAACGAAAACGAATGACAGTTCTTAGGATAGAGGCACCGCTCTTCAAGAAGGCCGGTTGATAATTGTGATGGTGTCTACGCGCCTCCATCGGCTAGGCTCTGTCGTAGCACGAAGTTAGCCGAACTCCAGACTTTGAAGTCGTCGTGGCCTAAAGGACAAGACGTCCGGTGCATTCGTGTCGAGCGATGCACCGGTGTTCGAATCCCGCTGGCGGGTACCAATTTTTCTAATGAAATACGTACTCAGCAAATGTTCACGATTGACTTCCACGGTGAAGGAATAACATCGTGCAATAAAAATCAAACCCGCAAAATTATAATTTGCGTAATTACTGGTGGTAGGACCTCTTGTGAGTCCGCACGGGTAGGTACCACCGCCCCGCCTANTGAAGGAATAACATCGTGCAATAAAAATCAAACCCGCAAAATTATAATTTGCGTAATTACTGGTGGTAGGACCTCTTGTGAGTCCGCACGGGTAGGTACCACCGCCCCGCCTATTTCTGCCGTGAAGCAGTAATGCGTTTCGGTTTGAAGGGTGGGGTAGCCGTTGTGACTATACTGAGACCTTAGAACTATATCTCAAGCTGTGTGGCGCATTTACGTTGTAGATGTCTATGGGCTCCAGTAACCACTTAACACCAGGTGGGCTGTGAGCTCGTCCACACATCTAAGCAATAAAAAAAAACTAAAAAAAAAACTCCGACGACATCGCGATCGTGTTGTCACCTCTCGGGAATCTTGCCACGCTTCGTTTTGCTACCAAACTAATGACCGTCTCCGACACATATATACGTATATGTATATATATTTTTTCCCCTACTAATTCGCTGGTAGCCTAAGGGGCTATTCCAGTTATGCCATAGAAGGGAGGTAAGCTCACGAGGCTCAACTTAAAATAATTGCTAATAGTAGCTTTAGCAAGAGCAGTGTATGCAAAATCTAGCGTCGGATCGGAATCGCGACCCACTGAGAAAATCCGGCGAGAAACGAAGTGGGTTGTGTCTATGGGTTAGTTCGCTCGTTTCGTAATCGACGATTTCGACGAGAATAATGACCGGTGATTCAAGACCCTGAAAGCACCATATTCGCATGTTCGAATAACCTAAATAGAGTATTCATATATTGACAGCACTCGGGTGCCGACTCGATAACACACAATCTGTACGACGAGATATGGTTGTGCTTTCTACTGTTCATGCAAGTTGCTATGTAAACATATTATCGATAGAAACAGCTCTTTAGCCTTGAAAGAGTGGCACTATTGAAATACTGGAATTCAGTAAAGCGGTCGAGTACTAAACGCATACCCGATCCGGTGGACCGAATGGTAAACAGTCGACGTCGCCCTAAACACGTCATTACGGATCCTCCCGATCCATTAACGGTGCTTTTAGGTAGGTACCTCAAGCACCGGTCACCGTCCTCGCCGAAACTGTCGCTTGCGGCGAAGGGCTCGACGAGTGAATTAACACATAGACATAGCCCACTGAGTTTCTCGCCGAAACTTTTCGGTGGGTCGCGTTTCCGATCCGGTGTAGATTCTGCGAAGCACTGCTCTTGCTAGGGCCAGTGTTAACAACACTCCCGGTTTGAGCCCCATGAGCTCACCTACACGTTAAGGAGAAGCTAAAATAGCCTCTCAAGGCTATCAGTGTAGGTAGGAGGGAAAAAAAAGTACTGGACGCTGTATTCGAATATTTCATTGATGTTCTTGATTCGAATACTAATTCGATACTTTTCGTTATGACTAACTATTCCAGAATGTGCTTGTCTTTTGGATGTAGATATATGTGATGTCTTTTTTTTTGGTGTATTAAAAGTTGTATTTTTTCTTTTTTTTTTGCATTGAATACACCAGGCATCTTCATAGTCGCGGCGAAGAGGACCCCGTTCGGAAAAATGGGGGGTCTGTTGAAAGACATTCATCCATCCGACTTACTAGCAGTCGCCGCTAAGGAGTCTTTCAAGGCCGGAAATGTTGCTCCTGCTTTGGTCGACACTGTCAACATTGGACAGGTTTATTCGGTAAGTAAATAGACCATTAAGTGTTTTTAAATTATTTTTTATAAAATATATCTCCATATAATATATCAAATAACTTAATATTTTAGCTAAGCGGAACATCAGACGGTGGTTTATCACCCCGTCACGCAGCCCTGAAATCAGGCGTGCCACAAGAAAAACCTGCACTGGGCGTCAACAGATTGTGTGGATCAGGATTCCAAGCTGTCATTAACAGTGCCCAAGTGAGTGAAAGAAATGATAGTTCATTGAAAAATGTTAAAACTCATTTCTTTATTATTGCTGCTTAATTTATGAAACACATGCAGACATTTGATAGCGGGCATCTTGTCCGATCTTTATTTTATTAGGCCAAATCGCGAATTCGGTCAGGTAGTAGATGCATTCACGATGTTGAGCTGTGAGGTCTGCGGAGACACTCGGGCAGTTCTTAGCAAATGTCAGTCCACCTAGCTGAGCCCGTGCTCGCCTAACTGGTCAGGTGTTAAAGAAGCTGGAAAGGCTTCTGGGCCGAAACCAATCCCATCATCCCAAAAATGAAAAAGAAAGGTTTGTTTCTTGTGAGATGGGCGAATCAATTAAGACAGTCACCATCATGAGCCCAGAGTCGTCCACTGCTGGGCATAGGTCTGTCCCAGTTTACACCACTGAGCCCGGTTCTCCTAATCCATTTCTTGTCCGCCTTCCTTCCTTCGCAATTCATCGCTCCTATTTGCCGTTGTGGCCTTCTAGATTATAATTGCCAGTCGCCGTCTATTCTGACTAAACAGTTTAATTTAATTATTTTGTTGTAACAGCTGTTTTATAATTAGGTACATTACGAAGACACTGCTGTTGTCTTTGAATATTTAATGCCACGCGTTTGGCATCCAAAAGCAGCCTTATTCTAAGACGTGTCGTGTCTTATAATCACTAACATTCAAGGTTTGGGGTCGTGAGTTAGTTTAGGTAATGTTTAATTTCATTTTATACAAGTAGATGCGAGACAAAGTCACTATATGATTATTAATATGTATTGTGGAATAATATAGAAATGGTATCAGCGCATTGAGAAGAATTATTGACTATGCTCCATTTTCCAGGATATTTTAACAGGTACGGCTCAGATTTCCTTAGCAGGTGGCACGGAGAACATGTCAGCAGTTCCGTTTGTCGTCAGGAACACCCGTTTCGGAGTACCTCTGGGCGTGAATATTCCCTTCGAAGATTCCCTCTCAGCGGGATCTCTGGACACATACTGCAACTACACTATGCCTCAAACTGCTGAAAATTTGGCTGAGAAATACGAACTCAAAAGGGGAGAAGTTGATCAGTTTTCGCTTCAATCCCAGCAGAGATGGAAAACAGGTTCGATTTTATTATTAAATAAATCGAGTTAATGAACACGCACATAATCTAGCTAACAATATACAAATGTGTAAGAAAAGCGTACGTAAATCCGAAAAAAGTACCGTAATGAAGTGTCAGAACGCTACATCGATAAAGCGGCGCGACATGAAAACCCTCTTATTGTGAGCGCCGTAAATTACTTATCTGACCGCGATGGAGCAACACAAAGTCACCGTCGCCCGAAACATGTTTTGTGGGATCCCCCGGATTCACTGTCGATGCTTTTCAAAAGTCTCTCAAGCACCGGCTGGTTCGCTCGTTAAAATTTTCGTCGTAATCGACGAGTTCGACGAGAGCGGCGATTTCTTTACATGCGCGATAAACCAAAACCGTAGAAATTTCACGAGGTGCACATTACAGCGCACGACAGCGGCGTCTTCAAGGCTGAGATGGCCCCGGTTACAGTCAAAGTGAAAAGGCAAGAAGTACTGGTGGACAGAGACGAGCATCCTAGACCGGAGACCAACACCGAATCGCTAAGTAAATTACCAGCGTTGTTCAGGAAGGGAGGAGTAGTGACGGCTGGAAATTCCTCGGTGAGTTTAGAGTTCTTGTGTTTACGCGCTATATTACAGGCGGACAGTCTTCCGTAATAACAAAAAACTGTTTCATCTGGAAATAAGAATCATAATCTAAGCTGAAAATTACGTGTTGATTTACGAAGAAGATTACTTACGAGGAAAATTGTCGAAAATGCTCGACGGTAAGATTTGTAATATACGATCATACGTACCTAATAACTGTTAATATATTTAGTGGACTATGACCACATCTGAGCATCTGATATGTGCCACTATTGCCTCTTTGAACTAGTCTGGGCTTGGGTTGGAGGTTCAGTCAAAGTCTTTTTTAAAGAGATTCAGTGTTTTGATGTATGATGACGATATACTATTTATCTACTCGAATGCAGGAGAAAATTCTGGCTCCATACTTGAATGCTTTTCTTACTGGTGGTAGGACCTCTTGTGAGTCCGTGCGCGTAGGTACCACCGCCCTGTCTATTTCTGCCATGAGGCAGTAATACGTTTCGGTTTGAAGGGTGGGACAGCCGTTCTAACTATACTTGAGACCTTAGAACTTATATCTCAAGGTGGGTGGCGGATTTACGTCGTAGATGACTATGAGCTCCAGTAACCACTTAATACCAGGTTGGCTGTGAGCTCGTCCACTCATCTTCGCAATGTTTCACTTCCTTAAATATAATTTAATAGAGTTCTTATGAACCTAAATTTGATTCGCATCACTTTCTAGGGCGTAAATGATGGTGCCGGTACTGTGATTCTCGCCAGCGAAGAAGCTGTCAAGCAACACGGTCTGACTCCACTGGTTCGTCTCCTCGGCTGGTCGTTTGTTGGTGTGGACCCCAGCATTATGGGTATAGGACCTGTTCCCGCCATCAACAATCTACTATCCGCCACTGGGCTTAAACTTGGCGATATTGACTTGGTAGAGGTGGGTACAGCGTGATTTACTGCTCGGATATGATCTCTGAATACAAATTAGTTGGGGGTCAAGTAGTTTTAGGTTATAAAAATCATCATAGTTACTCTGGGCAGAGCTATCGTGGTCATGTGAAATCCTTGTTTATTAAAAGTCTTGACAGCCGTTCTCCTTACCAGGTGGGCTGTGAGCTCGCCCACTCATAGATTTTGTGAATAATTGTTGCTTTTAAATTTCAGATTAATGAAGCGTTCGCCGCTCAGACTCTAGCTTGTATTAAAGAGCTAAACTTAGACGAAAGTAAATTAAATGTGAACGGAGGGGCCATCGCTATGGGACATCCTGTTGGCGCGTCTGGGGCCAGGATCACAGCTCATTTAGCTCATGAGCTCAGGTAAGCACACATCTCTAAAGTATGGTCGCTTTCTGTCATGACAACATAATAAAAAAAAACCTATTTGTTTTGCAACTGTGTTCTGTGATAAAGATTTGGACATCATACATACTGTTTCGCGCTGGGGTTCAGGATAAAACAAAATTCTACCAAATTAAAATCTATTAATTAAATGAAGCAAAAACTTTGTATCCCTTTTTACGAAAATTGCGCAGACGGAGGTGTTTGAAATTTTCCACACTTATAGAGAATATAGAGAAGAAGTGCACAATGCTAATATTTTTTTAAACTAATGCATAAAAGATACATAAAATCAATAAAATAAAATATAAATCAATAAAGAAAACATTACACACACTACATACCATGTATTTGACGCACACATGCATGCATACTATTTATTGTCAAACTTTTGTTCTTGACGTCTGTGGTCAAATTGAGAATAGATTAAATATTGTTTGTCTTTATTAATATTTTTTTATAGTGTAGTCTTGGCGAAATTTGTGATTATATAAGTATAAAATACAATCATAATAGTGTACAAACTTACAATTCCAATTAATTACAGTCGAATTTCGACTACTGCGGGACCTCTAGTTCTATTTAAGGCTTAAAACACTTAACGGACAGTTTAAAATTCTCAATTCACTTCTTCCGCTTCGCTTCAAGTGATCCGTCCGCTGTTTCGACTCGAGTAGTTCTGATTACTACCTGACTCGTGTCATCTTCGCAACGCCTTTATAGCCGATACGACATCCCTAGAATTAACGAGAACATTCTCGGCAAGGCCAGACATTTCGATATGTGTTATCGCTATTTGATGATAGATGGCGTTGCGATTCTCGAGAGTTCTCGATTTTTACGAGTTCTTTTGATATTCGTTGCTGCTATTCGACGATAGATGGCGTTACTCTTACCGGTGTAACAATACTATTGGCATGTATCTTCTGAAATAGACACATCTAACAACAACTGATTTACCGATTTTTCTTTTCTCGTTCCCACGATCAGTCAAGCGACTTTAGCAGAAATCAATGAATGCAGAGTGACCAACAAATTATTGGATTTGAATTTTTATTTATAGCCCCTTATATATAATAATATATATAACTTTTAAACTATATTATAAACACTTATATATACTTGTAAGGACTAAACTGCGAATAATTTTTATTACTAAATTTAATTACTTTAATACAAGCGTTTTATTTTGTTTCAGACGTCGTGGTTTGAAGAGAGGTATCGGCTCAGCATGCATTGGAGGAGGGCAAGGAATCGCTTTGCTACTCGAAACTATATAACCTAGTCAATTAGGTTAAGATTTGTCTGGCAGAGAAGAGCTATCTAACTTTAGCGAGCTCTGTCAGTGCGATATTGATTGTATGCAGCCATGCCCAGCTTGAACTGATATGACGAATTTACAAGCTCGTATTCAATGGCGATTATATTTTTGTATGTGTAATAATAATTTATAAATGTATTTTTTTTTATACATTTTTTGGACAATTACTTGTTTTAATGTTTTGTGGTTTCTTTTAAAATTGTAACTAACACAAAAATAGATTTTTTTCTTCTCCAGCGATATACAATTTGTAGACCTTAATAAAATTGTTATGATCTGTCAATTTAATTTAGTTTTTGGATTACACAACAGCTGCTGATAAGTTCCAAGTTTTAATGGCTTTAAAACGTTCAATAATAGCTGAAAAGTTTCCGCAGCGCACGCAGTGGAAGCTCATAAAAGGGAAAAAGAAAACCAGATTTTGAAACATTTTATTGGTGCTCCGCTTGTATTGGTCTTAGCGTGATGTTATATAGCCTTCCTTGATAAATGAGCTATCTAACACAGAGACTAGACTTTACTGGTGGTAGGACCACTTGTGAGTCCGCACGGGTAGGTACCACCACCCTGCCTATTTCTGCCGTGAAGCAGTAATGTGTTTCGGTTTGAAGGGTGGGTCAGCCGTTGTAACTATACTGAGACCTTAGAACTTATATCTCAAGGTGGGTGGCGCATTTACGACATAGATGTCTATGGGCTCCAGTAACCACATAACACCAGATGGGCTGTGAACTCGTCCACCCATCTAAGCAATAATAAAAAAAAACAGAATTTTTCAAATCGGACCAGTAGTTCCTGAGATTAGCGCGTGCAAACGAACAAACTGTTCAACTTTATAATATTATTATAGATTAGTATAGATTAGTTTTTTCGCCTTCTCGCATTCAATAATATTTAGCAGCATTTTCCCAATGCTTGCAACAATAAAGATGTAGCTAATTGACATGTCGAAAGGTAGACGAACTTAGTTTGAATTCTATTTCATCTAAGATTCTGGTAATAATATAATAATAATTTGGTTATATTTATATTTCATTAGCGACCCGCCCTCGCTTCGCTTCGGAAACTGTAATTTATTATTGGTTTCTCCACTATTTAATGGATGTTATTATACATATAAACCTTCCTCTTCAATCACTCTATCTATTAAAAAAACCGCATCAAAATCCGTTGCGTAGTTTTAAAGATTTAAGCATACATAGGTAGATATAGGGACAGAGAAAGCGACTTTGTTTTATACTATGTCGTGATTAACCATTAATTAACCAATAACGTCATATCGAATTGTCACACAAAAGATTTTGCTCATTTGTAACTTTAAGGCAAATACCAATTTAATACATTACAACACTTACGTAGAGAAGACAGTGACCTTGAACGATAACAACGGCTATTCGGCGTCACGCCTGTTACATTAAAATTGTTTTTGACAAAACCCGATAACATTACATAACAATCGCACAATATATATACAACAACGATTTATAAGTTTACTTACACGGTTAAAATAATGATTGCTTTTGCAACAACTACTTACCTGACAACTTGATGCGTAATTTACATAATAAAAATGTTGATTTATTAAAAATTTTGCCGGTTTAGATATTTTTTATCAGTGTTAGTGCAGTGCCAATGTTTGTTACAAGATACGATAAAAGAGATAATACAATAATTTTGGTCTTCAGTAGCGATGTCTTTGGCAGGGAAAGGTTAGTGAGTTTCGGTTTTAGTAATTTGGCTAACACAAATAAAGAATCTTTTATATTGGCATTATTATGTATAATAAAAAGGTGGTAATTTAAATTTTAAATAGTATTGTAAAAAGTTATAGTGTTGTTGATCGTAAAGAGGTTATTTTTATTAATATATAATTTTAATATATCTATTTCCTTATTATTGTGTTATTATAATATTTCTGTTTATATCACAGTCCTTATTATTTTATATTGTTTATTTTTAACTGATGTCACTGAAATTTTAGTCTAATGAAATATGACCGCGATCACAGGTTACGAATCATGCGATCAGAATCATAGATTATACACTTAATACATTCGGGAGCAATGAAAACGCATATCTGTACATTTTTTGAAAAATATTATTTACTTCTTTTTATTTAAAAAAATACATATATTTTTAACACAAGGTTAAAGGATAGTTCAATACCTATTCAATGATACCACATAAGACATGATAAGTTTACCTGCCTGCTGAAACAAAACGACAACAGCAAACTCCAAAAATTGCTCCCTCAACTCACTGCAGTTTGCAAGACCAACTGCAGGTATAAAAAGGCATGTTTTGTGTAAAACGTCATCAGTTGCAAGCCAACGCTTAACCTGATAAGACCTCTAGTGACTCCAATTGCATTTGTCTGAAAAAGATGGATACTACTCCGGAAAAAGCCGCTCAAGTCGTCGCTCTAATTGAAGCGGGCCAGAACCAGAGTGCTGTAGCTCGACAACTGAATATCAGCCGATATTCAGTTCGTCGTGTGTACCAGCGCTATCGGGAGACTGGTGGCTTTGAAAGGCGACGAGGATCTGGTCGAGCAAGAGCTACAACACAGCGCGACAACAGATTTCTTGTAACGACAGCGTTGCGAAATCGTCGTTTGACTGCCGTTGAACTTGCACAGCAGCTTCAACAGGTGCGTGAAGTGGTAGTCAGCAGGTGGACAGTCAGAAGGAGACTTGCCGAAGGTGGTTTGACTGCGCATAGGCCAGGAAATGGCCCTAAATTGACGCCAGCTCACCATAGATCACCAGCAATAAAGATTAAATTGTTGTTGCATTTTATTTTCCTCAAGAAAGTAACCTTATCTCCACTTCTATGGTATCATTGAATAGGTATTGAACTAACCTTTAACCCTATGTTAAAAAATATATGTATTTTTTTTAAATTAAAAGAAGTAAATAATATTTCTGGTGCAAAAACTGGACCAAGGTGGTCACGACCCTCAGCAATGAGGAAACGACAGAGAAGAAGAAATAATATTTTTCAAAAAATGTACAGATGTGCGATTTCAGTGCACCCGAGTGTATATTATCAGAATGGTTGGGATCTTAATCGGCTTAATTTTTTTTTAAATAAAAGACGCGTGTGGCATGTTGTCATTATCAACAGTAATTTAATCGATATTTTCAAATTCAAATTCAAATTCAAATTCAAAATCATTTATTTCAACTTGGATGTCATCAAAAACACACTTGTTGAATGTCAAAATGTAAAAGAAAATGTTAACTCTACCACCGGTTCCAAAAAAGCCACAGTCCTGAGAAGAACCGGCGAAACAAACTCAGCGGGCTTTTTTATGTATTTTCTCAACTATTTTCTTCTTTTTTTTTTTTTAAACNACTTAACTCAGCCTTAATTAGAATTTTTTTCGGAATTCAGTAGTAAAGTTCAAGTTATTTTGATGAAATCAAAACTGAAATATTCATAACATCTTAAACAATCACCTACGAATAAATATTATTTATTATATTATTTATTATACGAATAAATATTATTTATTCAGTAGACAATCACAACGGTTTTATAGTTTTGGGAAGGGATTTTTTGTAACGCCATCTCGTGAAGTATTTCGGTATTACATTAATATAAAATAATTAATAATTGGGAATTTAATTATTTTTATGATCGAACAATCACCAATAGTCGTCGAACAAACGATAATTGACCAACAAACAATTTTTACATTCGAGCATTAATGAACAAACGACGAACAAATAATTATTTTTCTGATTTTCAGATTTTTTTATTTTTTATTATTTGTTCGTTAATGTTCTTATGAAAAATTTTTTGTTCGTCTTTTATTTATTTATAATTAATTAAACTAATGATCACATTAAGTTGGCCCCTTTTACTAGATATCTTTATTTTTATCACTCAGATAATTTTGATCAATTATCGTTTGTTTGACGACTATTGGTGATTGTTCGATCATAAAAACAATTGAATTCCCAATTATTAATTATTTTATATCTAATAAGCAAACCATCACCTCACGCCAACAAATATAAAAAAATCCAAAATAAAAAAGGGGGCTAAATTCACTGAGCCACTAAGTATATAATATTTGCATGTGTTTAATCTATGATATTTGCTACCATAGATAATAGAGCCTAGGAAAGGCGACGACGACGCGTTTGCTATATTAATATTTTCTAATTGAAAATACAGAAAGGCCATTAATAGCCTACAGTATATTTTTTAAATACAAAACTCGCTTTAGCGAAGATGTATGATACAGAAGATGATCAATACGAAGAGGAAGATGTGGAAATAACACCTGAGCTTTGGCAAGAAGCTTGTTGGATTGTCATCAACGCTTATTTCGATGAAAAAGGTCTAGTGAGACAGCAATTAGATAGCTTCGATGAATTTATTCAAATGTCGGTACAACGTATAGTTGAAGATTCTCCACCCATAGAGTTACAAGCAGAAGCACAACATTTCTCTGGTGAGATGGAAACACCACCAAAATATCGTCTTAAATTTGACCAAATTTATTTATCTAAACCTACTCATTGGGAGAAAGATGGAGCTCCATCTCCCATGATGCCCAATGAAGCACGTCTTCGTAATTTAACATATTCGGCACCTTTATATGTTGATATTACAAAAACAATAGAGAAAGAACATGAGGATCCTATTGAAACGCAACATCAGAAAACATTTATTGGCAAGATTCCTATTATGCTTAGATCTACATATTGCTTACTAAACAGTTTGACTGACCGTGACTTGTCAGAATTGAATGAATGCCCCTTAGATCCTGGTGGTTACTTCATTATTAATGGATCAGAAAAAGTACTAATTGCACAGGAAAAAATGGCTACCAATACTGTCTATGTATTCAGCATGAAGGATGGCAAATATGCTTACAAAACAGAAATAAGATCATGTCTGGAACATAGTTCTAGACCGACATCTACATTATGGGTTAATATGATGGCTCGAGGAGGACAAAATATAAAGAAATCTGCTATTGGTCAAAGAATTATGGCAATTGTCCCATATATCAAACAAGACATACCTATAATGATTGTATTCAGAGCTTTAGGTTTTGTTGCTGATAGAGATATATTGGAACACATTATATATGATTTTGATGATCCAGAAATGATGGAAATGGTTAAGCCATCTCTTGATGAGGCTTTTGTCATTCAAGAACAAAATGTAGCACTCAATTTTATTGGAAGCCGAGGGGCACGCCCAGGTGTCACCAAAGAAAGACGTATTAAATATGCTAGAGAAATCTTACAAAAGGAAATGTTGCCACATGTTGGAGTATCAGATTTTTGTGAAACAAAAAAAGCTTATTTTCTAGGCTACATGGTACACAGATTATTATTAGCTGCTTTGGGTCGAAGAGAACTGGATGATAGAGATCATTATGGCAACAAAAGATTAGATTTAGCAGGACCACTTTTGGCTTTTCTATTTAGAGGCTTATTCAAAAATTTACTAAAAGAAGTCCGAATGTATGCTCAAAAATTTATTGATAGAGGAAAAGATTTCAACTTGGAACTTGCTATCAAAACAAAAATCATCACTGATGGTCTTCGTTATTCTTTGGCAACTGGTAATTGGGGTGACCAAAAGAAAGCTCATCAGGCCCGAGCTGGAGTATCTCAAGTGTTGAACAGATTAACTTTTGCATCTACTTTATCCCATTTAAGACGTGTCAATTCTCCAATTGGACGTGATGGTAAACTTGCTAAACCACGTCAATTGCACAATACTTTATGGGGTATGATTTGTCCTGCTGAAACTCCAGAGGGAGCTGCTGTTGGCTTAGTGAAGAATTTAGCATTAATGGCTTATATCTCAGTAGGAAGTCAACCTTCACCAATTTTGGAGTTCTTGGAAGAATGGTCAATGGAAAACTTGGAAGAAATTGCACCATCAGCTATAGCTGATGCCACAAAAATATTTGTGAATGGTTGTTGGGTAGGAATACACAGGGACCCTGAACAGTTGATGGCTACACTACGTAAACTAAGACGTCATATGGACATCATTGTCTCTGAAGTCAGTATGATTAGAGATATAAGAGACAGAGAAATCAGAATCTATACAGATGCAGGTAGAATTTGTAGACCATTACTTATTGTCAATAATGGTGTCTTATTGTTAAAAAAGAAGCACATAGATGATTTAAAAGAAAAGGACTACAATAACTATGGTTGGCAAAATTTGGTGGCTAGTGGAGTAGTTGAATATATTGATACTTTGGAAGAAGAAACTGTGATGATTGCCATGAGTTTAGATGACTTGAATCAAGTTAAAGAATATGCATATTGTACTACTTATACACATTGTGAGATTCATCCTGCAATGATTCTGGGTGTCTGTGCGTCTATTATTCCATTCCCAGATCATAATCAAAGTCCCAGAAATACTTATCAAAGTGCTATGGGTAAACAAGCTATGGGAGTTTATATCACAAATTTCCATGTTAGAATGGATACACTGGCTCATGTTTTGTATTATCCCCACAAACCCCTGGTTACAACAAGATCTATGGAATACTTACGATTTAGAGAATTGCCAGCAGGAATTAACTCTATTGTTGCTATTCTTTGTTATACTGGATATAACCAAGAAGACAGTGTTATTTTGAATGCATCTGCTGTAGAGAGAGGATTCTTTAGATCCGTATTTTACCGTTCATACAAAGATTCTGAATCTAAAAGAAATGGAGAACAAGAAGAACAGTTTGAAAAACCAACCAGACAGACATGTCAGGGTATGAGGAATGCTCTGTATGACAAATTAGATGATGATGGTATTATTGCTCCTGGTATTAGAGTATCAGGTGATGATGTTGTCATAGGAAAAACTATAACTTTACCAGAAAATGATGATGAATTGGAAGGTACAACAAAACGATTTACAAAGCGAGATGCGTCCACTTTCTTACGTAATAGTGAAACTGGAATTGTCGACCAAGTAATGTTGACATTAAATAGTGAAGGTTATAAATTTTGTAAAATTCGAGTCAGATCTGTACGCATCCCGCAAATTGGAGATAAGTTTGCTTCACGACATGGTCAAAAAGGAACATGTGGAATTCAATACAGGCAAGAAGATATGCCATTTACTTGCGAAGGTATAACACCAGATATCATTATTAATCCTCACGCTATCCCTTCGCGTATGACAATTGGTCACTTGATTGAGTGTATTCAAGGGAAAGTATCTTCCAATAAGGGAGAGATCGGTGATGCAACCCCATTCAATGATGCCGTAAATGTGCAAAAAATATCATCTCTGTTACAAGATTATGGTTACCATCTACGTGGTAATGAAGTCATGTACAATGGGCATACAGGCCGTAAAATTAATGCGCAAGTTTTTTTGGGACCAACTTACTACCAACGTTTAAAGCACATGGTCGATGATAAAATTCATTCTAGAGCTAGAGGTCCAGTACAAATTCTAGTGAGACAGCCTATGGAAGGTAGGGCAAGAGATGGTGGATTACGTTTTGGTGAAATGGAACGTGATTGTCAGATTGCACACGGAGCTGCCCAATTTTTACGTGAACGTTTATTTGAAGTATCAGATCCTTACCGTATACACGTGTGTAATTTCTGCGGCCTGATCGCTATAGCTAATTTGCGTAACAATACATTTGAATGCAAAGGCTGCAAAAACAAAACTCAAATTTCGCAAATCCGTTTACCATATGCAGCCAAGTTACTATTCCAGGAACTAATGTCGATGAATATCGCTCCTAGACTAATGGTAGTGAGTTAAGTATTATAATTTGATAAGAAAATAATTCACTGTCAACTATTAAGATTTAAAATAAAATAAAATCTAATCGTTTTTGTAAGAGTTTTATTACAAACCGACAACATTAAATGCAACTTAATAACACAAGATCACAATAGAAAAAATGGTGTACTTTGTTTCTGGCTTAAGATTCAGAAATCCGACCAGTCAACACTTCATTAGACATTCAATTAATAAATGTATATTTATGAACTAACAAACATCACTAAACATTTCATGTAACCAAACCTCAATATTACTATTTATAGCAACTTGTGATTATACAGATATAATAAATTACTATATTTAATAATATAAATCTAATTGAACAAAATTGCACACAATAGTTTTCGCATAGTTCTTTTATAAAAGAATAAATAAAAACGCGTAACATAGTTATCTTTTTTAAAGTAAAAAAAAACTGGAACTTTGGTAGTCCTGCATGTGTACACTACCAGATTGAAATTTAAAAAATTAATCGTAAAGGTAGGTCATCAAATCACAACTAACCGCGATATGTTAACATGCGTAATCAATTAAAATGCCTAATTTACCTATACTTGTTCATTTTAAGGCGAAGAAGACATTTAGCACATTTGTTATTTCTACGTGCATTGTACTATAACTACCTTAAGAGCTGGTTGCAGACACTTAATTATGAAAAATTCAAAAGACAATTAGGTAGAAAAATAAAGCATCCAACACGTGTCTCACAATTATGTGTGAAAATAGTTATTGAACTATATTTATTTAACTAAAATATAAACTTTGTGAGTACATAATAAAACTATCAGTTCTTTATTGTTCGTAAGAGAGCATACGTTGGTTACTGTGTGACAAGGAAATAAATTGTCTCGCAATTAAATGCGTTGAATAATATTTTTTTTAAGTACCTACCATCTAGTGAAAATTATGAATGACCCGTGTGCACCTAAACTTGATAATCATTTGTTAGTGCAAAATTACGAGTGCGAATCAAATATAGCTGTCTTAAAATCAAATAATTAGAATTAAATTATTATTTATCTCATTGGGAAAATATTTTTTTAATCTTAATGATATATACGTATATGTATATAAAATTACTGTACAACTAATTCAATAGATGGATGCAATAACGCGTTCTAACGTTGACTGCATGGTCATGATAACAAATATAAAAATGGACGTTTACAATTAATTATGTAGGCGTATTCAAAACGATCGTTGCTTAAGAGATGTTCACACAACAAGATTCCACGTAGCGTAGGCTTTAACGAGAGATGCTTTCTAGTTCCCGTGGAGATAAAATTAGCAGATACAACACGTACCGGACTTAGGCTTCGTCAAACAGAACGCGTACTTAGCGCTGCGTTGTAATGTCGCGCTCTTTTCATGTCACACAAATTTACTAGACGAGCCCAACGCTCCTTGACGCAACGCATTCGCCAAATCATATTGCCTTTCGATAGCAGTGTGAAAATTTAAAAGTATTAAGATATCGAGTGTTTCAGATGTGGCATTGTATAAACATGGGTATTTCCTAACTATTTCTATCAACTTTTCGGGCATTATCCAGTATTTTAATACACATTCACTCGGACGCTAAAATAAAATTTGTAAAAAATTACAACGCCTGACGTCAAAGCGTCCTAAAGCCGCGACAGAGCGTTGCGTAGGTACTTATAGCGCTGGGGCTCTGTTTGACGGTATGTTACCATAGTAGTACAGCACATCTCGGCGTCATAGCGCGCCGTCAGTTTAGCGCACTGACGCGCGCTAATTACCTGTTCTATTTGACGAAGCCTTAAGAGTTAGAACGACGGACGTGGTGGATCGTCAGAGTTATCCGTGAGATTTATAATGTGCATGCTCAACTCCTCTCGGAGCGCGAGGGCGGGAGCGCTCGCTGCTCCTCGGGCTCCTCCTTGGGCCGACTCCACTTGATCATAGTCTCCGGCGACCGATACAGGAACACCAGTTTCGCAAATAAGTCCTCTTCCAGAGACAGCTCTAGAGCTTCCCGAACCTATTATAAAATACTCAATTTACGAATTGTGAAACATATGAAACATCCATCCTTACTTCGTAGTAAGAAACAGAATTTAATAAGTTCATAATTTTAGTGATCGTCGTCGGCTAAGCATAAGGCGCCAGTTGTACTTGTGTCGAGCGATGCTGCTAGTGTCACAAATCCCGCAGGAAGGTACGAATTTCCCAATAAAATACGAACTTACACAATAAATTACTGTCTCAAAGCTGTCGTACATTCCGGATCGAATGGTGACGGTAGCCATTTTACAATACAATAAACATTCCAACATAATGTATTTTATTAAGTTATGGCTCTAATAATAAGCGAATGGGTGACGGTGGCCATTTAAAAGTAAATCGTGCACTCGCAAACAATCTTCTTGTCTGTGATTCCATTGGTCGATTTGGCTTAATTTTGGTAACCGGTTTAGTAATTTTTGAGAGTAGCAGGCCTTGCTTTGGTATTGAATTTGATAATGATAGTATTAGTTCAAAGTCGCCGCCATAAATCCCTGTATCTTCTAACAATAATCAATCAAACTATTAGAATATATCGCACCTTTAGAATTTAAGTGCACAACTAAAAATTTAAAGAAAATGGGTTTTACACTTTGAACTACTTATAAACACGTATACTATGATTTTATAAGAATAATTCCTTTAGAATTTAAGTGCACAATGTAGGTGTTTCTACTATATTTATGTATATTAATTCATATTATTTATTAATTTACATTGTACACCTACGCAATATTTAATATTATATCATATTTAATTACGTATTCTATAACACACTCTCATACAGTACATAAATACGCCAAACAATCATACATTCACAACACTACTCAAAATTATATTATTTACACAAGTATAGTCGGGCGCAACCGCTAGTATGCGGCAAAGACCCCGACTATGTATAACTGCGTATAGTAATCGGCAAACTTCTTGAGCAAATGACCTTGACTGCGCAGAACCGAATTTTAGATCACTTTGGTGGCGAGGGTGAGGCGCGACGGCAGGGGAAATCGTATCGAGCGCGTTATTGGTAGATCAGTCGAACCTTGCGTCCCGCACCGCGCCCTCATTCCGCTTGCTCCCAAAAGTACGCTTGCGTACAGTGGAAAGTCTATCGTTATTAATCGTTAAGTTATTTGTTATAATTGCTTGTGGACTTTGTTGCCATTGCTATTTGTTGAGTGTTTGTTGATTTTTTATAAAACATACATTATGCCGCGACAAACTGGTGTAGTAATCAAAAGAAAGGGTAGAAATTTGGTGTACGACGTATATTGGTGTACGACGTGAATAGACAGACTTCGGAAGTCACAAAACCATCAGTGAGTACTGTTAGGTGCATTATTAACGAAGCTAAAGGCTCTGGCTTGCTCGCCGTGTTTCGGACTCNGCGCGTTATTGGTAGATCAGTCGAACCTTGCGTCCCGCACCGCGCCCTCATTCCGCTTGCTCCCAAAAGTACGCTTGCGTACAGTGGAAAGTCTATCGTTATTAATCGTTAAGTTATTTGTTATAATTGCTTGTGGACTTTGTTGCCATTGCTATTTGTTGAGTGTTTGTTGATTTTTTATAAAACATACATTATGCCGCGACAAACTGGTGTAGTAATCAAAAGAAAGGGTAGAAATTTGGTGTACGACGTATATTGGTGTACGACGTGAATAGACAGACTTCGGAAGTCACAAAACCATCAGTGAGTACTGTTAGGTGCATTATTAACGAAGCTAAAGGCTCTGGCTTGCTCGCCGTGTTTCGGACTCCGGGTAAGAAAAGATCAGGGAAGAAGAAAGTTACCGGAATGGATAGTTTCGTTCAATCTGTAATAAAAAGATGTAATCATAATAACTACATAACAAGCAGCGAAACTCCGTACCGTAGAAAGGCTTCGAAAAATTTAAAGAAGATATAAATTTTAATGGCTCGGAATGAAGCTTACGACGAATTATGAAAGAGCTAGGCTTCAGATGGAAAAAAAGAACAGAAAATAATCGGAAGCTGGTAAATGAAAAAAGTAACATTCGATTACTACGAATCGAATATCTTCAAAAAATAATTAATTATAGACAAAAAAGAAGACCGAATCGACCGAGTTGTAAACTACGCCGATGAGCCCTATTTCGACTCATCACGATGATAGCGACTCGGGTGATGAAAACAGTGATGATGATGATGGTCAAGATTATGATAACGAAAAAAAAAATTACAAATACCAGCTTCGCTTCAACTGAACCAAGACCTGGCAACAGCTCTAGTTTTGACTTAATAGAAGGAATATCTATTTTACCCCAAGATTAAATTATTACAATTATTAGCCTATATGTTTTGTTGATGTTCTAATAAATATATAAATAAATACATATGTTGATTTTAATAATTTAATAGCATTATAACGCAGAGTAATAGTAATGTTTTTGCACGTGAGTGTACCATGCGCAAACTTACCCCCACTACGTCGACAAATGCTCAAGAAGTTTGCCGGTTATTATACGTACTGGTCGTCGCCTGCGCCACGACTCGGCCGCCGCTCGCGGCCAGTCGGGTTTGATCAACGCTACGCTAAGACTGTGTCACTCCTCGACTTACGCGTACTCTGTTGCTTTGTTACGATTTATTGCTTTCACCTATTTTGTATTATTGTGTTTGAACTTGCTACCGCTTTATCTGTGCCTTCTGTACTCCGTAATTTCTCCTTCTTAATATTGTTATACCGTCTGTGATTGGAAATAAACTGTCCATCCAATTACGGACTAGTTATTGTGCCGCCCGGCACTGGTGACCTTACCACCACCATCGACAACGACTACTAAACACAACTAAAAATTTAAAGAAAATGGATTTTACACTTTGAACTACTTATAAACACGTATTCTATGATTTTATAAGAATAATTCGTTTAGAATTTAAGTGCACAACTAAAAATTTAAAGAAAATGGGTTTTACACTTTGAACTATGTACTTATAAACACGTATTCTATGATTTTATAAGAATAATTTTTTAAACTGAATTTTTAATTTTAGCTTACAAAAAGACTAAGTGTAGTTTCCGTCTCTTTTAAATCAAGCGCATACCTTAAACTTCAAAGTATGCGCTTTAAGGCTCAAAATATGTATTCAAATCGAGATTGAAAAATTACATTTTTGGTGTTTACCAAAAAACAATATTTTTGGATTAAGCCACTTCAATTCTAAAGGTGCTTTAAAGAGCTAGTATAATCGCTTCGAGTAGTTACCAAATAAATGTCGAGGCAGAGCTGCAGCACGCGGTCCACGTTGGGCAGGTCGTCGAACATGATCTTGGTGTAGATGCCGGAGAAGAAGCCGCGCAGTATCCGAGACGCGAGGAACACGAACGTCGTGTACAGCCCGATTATACTGGGTTGCGTGTTTGTTTGTTATTCATTTAGTATTCTATAGTCTATGTCTAGTATAGTCTATGAGGGAAAGAACTCACGGCCCACCCTACCTGTAGACCTTGAGACTAGAGGTCGAAGTTTAAATTGTATAGTATAACGTTGTTAGTATAAACTAGGACTCGACCCATACAAAACTATGCGTTTATATTTAAAGTTCAGTATGATAAGGTCGTTCAATAATTCATACTAAAAAAATCGATTACACGGTTCGAAACACCTTTGTTAATTTTGTTTTAAACTTTTGTTTGACTTTTGACTAAATTACGTTCAATAGACATGTTGATATAAATTTGCGTTAAAAAAATTTCACATTTCCAAATTATAAAAATTTTGAACAACAAAAGTCTACTCTGTAATGAAGAAATAACATACCCTTTAAAATCTTGTGTTATGTATAATTACGTAAAAAATCACAAAAAAACGCACATTGACCATAATTGGCCATTGACCATAATGGCTCGGGTGCGCAAGTGTCGGCAGTATATCACATTGTAAATATTAACAAATATCGAACTAAAAGAAGCAAATATTTTACATAATTCGGACTAATGAAACCGACAGTTCCACTGCGACCATCATTAGCTGTTTGAAAAATATATTTTTATTGAGATTAGTCGCGCGCCATCTATCGCCATATTTTTTTCTACCTAAGCTGGTAGCCTTGAGAGGCTATATCAGCGTTACCTTAACTAGTAGGTGAGCTCACGGGGCTCAAACCTGACGACGTTGCTAACACGAACCCTAGCAAGAGCCGTGCTTCGCAGAATCTACCACCGGATCGGAAACGCGACCCACTGAGAAGATCCGGTGAGAAACTCAGTGGGCTGTGTCTGAGGGTTAATTTACTCGTCGAGCCCTTCGTCGCAAGCGACGGGTTCGACAAGAACGGTGACCGGTGCTTGAGGTACCTAAAAGCACCGTTAGTGGATCGGGAGGATCCGAAGTGACGTGTTTTGGGCGACGTTGACTGCTTTCCATTCTGTCCGCAGGATCGGGAATGTAGTTACCGGCGGCCACGATGAGAGGGTTCTCGTGTCGTGCCGCTTTATCGAAGTGAACTATCGCCAGTTTATGGTACTATAACAGAAACCTTCCCTGGTGTGCCAAGTTGAACAAAGTTTAATCACAATCGGATGAGCACTTTAGGAACGCATAAAGAACAAACACACCTTTTTTTCTTCAAATACTACCGACAGAATACACAGCGTGCATAGTTTTCATATAAACGAACTTACCCGCTTCCGGATATGAAGTTTAACGTTTCTGGGAAGAGTTTATCGTTGAAGGTGTACATGACCAGCATGTCGCAGTTGTTCAACGGAAGCGAAGCTAACGAGTCCTGTATAAATAACACGCGTATGTAGAGCACGGAAATTATAACATAAATAAAAATTTACTAACTAGAGCATAACTATGTATGGTGGACAATTTCAATTTCAAAAATTAACGAATTTCCAAATATTCAAACCGTTTTTTTTTTCTTCAAATTGTCCTATTATTGTAATTCTCACTTCGACCACGATGTAAATTAGGGATATGAATTGAACGGTTTCTAATCTAATTATAAGCTTTAAAAGAAATGAGGTAATGCGTTCACAAGCTGTTAAGATGTAATTTAATATCGCATCACTTACACCCGTGGCGCATCTCTCGCGTACGCGCCAGTACATGTTGGAGTCTTGTCTCTCTAAGCGGAGCTGCACGTCTCGGTACTGCCGGGCATCGGGGTCTGAAAATTACAATCGAACTTAGTTTAATTAATGTAACGTTTATTAAAACCGAACTTGTAGTCTAGTCAACAAGTTCAAAAACGTGAAAAATAGAGATAAAGGTCCTAAAAATATGAGCGATGGCTCATTCGATTCGGAATCACCTCTAGAAAAATGTTTTTGAAGGATTTTGGTGCAGGTTAAAAATTGCAATTGTTATTAACAAAATAAGATGAAAAAAAAAATGATATTTCGTTTTTTGTTAATAACTTGAAAAATATTAACATTGAAGCAATTTTGAAAAAAGCTCGTTAAAGAGGAGGAAATTTCCAATAAAAAAGTCCTAACTCCCGGAACTCTATCTCCATTATTTATAATTTTAATTAGAGGGCTCCGCGCGGCTGTTACAGCATGCGCGCGCCGCCGCTAAAGAGAGTTCAGCAATAAAAATAATTTTTTTATAACATAAAATGTGATTTTAAAAATTTGAAAAAAATCTAGTATCTTCTTAACACTTGAAAGAATCGAGCCCTGAAGAAAAAAAAGTTTAATCATCATTTTTCAAAAAGTTATTCAATTGTTAACTAACAAATTTTTCCCAATCTCCATTGGCATAAACAATGGAATGAAAGGTATAAATAATTGGCCTATAAATTTTAAACTGCGTGGAGCCCTTTTGATATATGTACTTTATAAGATCCTGTGGTTAATTTTCATTAAAGTTAATTAATTTGTTAATTATGATTTTTTATAACTATGTATTGAAAAATTAAAAATCTAAAAAATGTTGATAATTGTTTTTTTTTCAATTAATATTTAGCTATGCCTGTTAGCTAAATATTAATTGAAAAAAAATTTTTAAATTTTAATTTAGCTTTTTTCAAAATTGCTTCAATGTTAATATTTTTCAAGTTATTAACAAAAAACGAAATATAATTTTCTTTTTCATCTTATTTTGTTAATAACAATTGCAATTTTTAACCTACACCAAAATCCTTCAAAAACATTTTTCTAGAGGTGATTCCGAATCGAATGAGCCATCGCTCATATTTTTAGGACCTTTATCTCTATTTTTCACGTTTTTGAACTTGTTGACTAGACTATTGCCTGAACACAATACGCTGAGAAAATATTTTAAATTGGCTAATAAATTTATCACAGAGATCACAAGGTGAATTCCCTACTAACCTTGATACTTGAGGTCGTAGCCGTACTCTTTTGAATCTCTAGGACCTCATTTGAGTCCGCGCCGGTAGGTACCACCATCCTGCCTATTTCTGCCGTGAAGCAGTAATACGTTTCGATTTGAAGGGTGGGGCAGCCGTTGTAACTATACGTGAGTCCTTAGAGGTTATATCTCAAGGTGGGTGGCGTATTTGCGTTGTAGATGTCTATGGGCTCCAGTAACCACTTAACACCAGGGCTGTGAGATCATCCACCCATCAAAGCAATAAAAAAAAAATTGTAGTGCAAAGGGCTACCCCACCCTTCAAAGCAGAAAATATAGCTGTTTCACCGCAGAAACTAATAAGAGGGTGGTAAGAGAGAAGTGGTAACCCTATCAGTGTGGACTTATACCACGCCTTATCTGTTTATTTTCTTCTTTCTAGGTTTGTAAAATGTTGTATGGAACGTGAAATTATTGGTTAGCTCACCATCGTCGGGGGGCATGAGTTGAGACGCTGGTTTTGTTGTGCCTTTATTGAATACCTTGATGAACTTCGGAAACAGAGTCGACACGTTGAACCTAAAAACAATCACAATCGATAAGACAACGACATTATGATTATAACATTAAAACTAGTTTTTTACGGTTTATTAGCATGTTGATCGGAAATTGTATATTAAAATTTGTGCGACTCGCGGACACCTATGTATTTATGTAAATACTATTATGGTCATTATTTCTCGCGTGTGTTGTGACCCTATTAATAAATGGAATATAATTCATTATGGTTGCTATGACCGGGATAAGGTTTAGGGTTTTTAACGCAAAGTTTGGTGTGACGAGTTTTGTTTTATTAATTGTTTTATTTTGCCAGTATCATTCCGTTCATTGCAAAATTATTGTAGTTCCAATCGAGAGTTCAATATCATCTCTGTTGTTGAGGTAACGCTATTTGATATATAAAGCATACACGTACACTAGTTTTTTTTCGTTGTTATTGTAATTAATAAATGCCCTTGTTTGCTAGCCAGACATTGAACGCTTAATACGATCTTTCTCTTCGATCGGTCTCTCACTTCTGAGGATCGTGACTCCGTCCGATTCCGTCAACCAGCTGTCTCCATCGATCCCGTTTTGTAACTTGAATTAAGTAATTGACTTGACTAAAATTTAGATAAAACGATGGAGAGCATAAATATATCACTGAAACCTGAATTTCAGAAAATAGTAGACGTCGATCCCCTCATCTCCTTTTTATCATCGCACCTCCCGCCGTCGAAGCAGAGCTCATCCATATTATCTGGAACCGCTGCGTTCATCGACAGTGCGTTTCCAGAGGTCTTTTTTGCCACATACCATCCGGCTATGGAATGAGCTCCCCTCCACGGTGTTTCCCGAGCGCTATGACATGTTCTTCTTTAAAAGAGGCTACCGCTTAATACTCTCCATTAAGCGGTAGGCAGCGACCTGGTTCTGCCCCTGGCATTGCTGAGGTCCACGGGCGACGGTAACCACTCATCATCAGGTGGGCCGTATGCTCGTTTGCCAACAAAGGCAATAAAAAAAAAAGACGTCCGGTTTAAATATCAGCGTTGACCAGCATTAGACATCAAAGTGTAGGAGAGGCGGCGTACCAGGCGTCGGCGGGCGCGGTGCCGTTGAGCATGTCGGTGAGCAGGCCGCGGTCGGGGTTGGCGCGTCCCTCCACGAAGGCCGGCAGCGTGACCTCGCGCTGGTCCTCCAGGGTTGGCGGGCTCGGGACCGCGTTCGTCGGGTGAGTTATCACGTATGTGAATTTCACTTGTAATGACGCATCTGTATACCAAACCACGATAGTTAACAAACTTGTATATTTAATCAATGCTCTACGATCAAATTCTCTACCGTAAGGTACTAGAAGTACACATTAGTATGTGAACGGCCTGAGCTGTAGCTTTAACTTTAGCGTAAGCTTAACAAAAATACTGGTCCGAGAGTCGAGCTTGAAATCTATAGTGCAGCAGTCAAAGTTATTAAATACCAGACCAGCTGGTTAATCATATTAATATTTTAAGTAAATTAGTAAACGATACACTGATCGTTGCAATACGTTTTACAAAAACAGGCAGCACTTATTATTTTAATTATATGCAGCGTACTGTTTTTTCTTTAATATTTCTACACGTTAATAGTCTCATTAGTCTTATTAGTGTTACGCCGGTAAGAGTAACGCCATCTATCGCCGAATAGTCGAACGAATATCGAAGGATCTAGTAGCACCTAGAACGCTCGAGAAGTACAACGTCATCTATTGTCAGATAGCGGAAACACAATACTAAAGATGTGTGGAATATTCTCGACAATTCTAGGGATGAGGTATCGACTATAAAAGCATTGCAGGGATGGCACGCAGTCTTACGCATCTTTAAAAGTGTAGTGAAGTGTTTTAAGTGTTCTAAGCGTCGAATAAAGTTTTTAGTTGTACTTTGGTGGAATTTTATTTATCCAGAACCCCAGCGCGTAACACTAGTAACAAACGAAGCACGGTTTGAAAATAAGTAAAATGCCCACTGGATAAAGCCTCCATTTCGAGTCGTTTGAGTTCAGGCGGCGAGATGACCCAGTTCATGGTCGATATAGGGTTGATGTAGATGACGGCGATGTCGTTGTACATGTAGTTCGACAGGAACGTCTGCGCCGCTCGGTTGCGTCCGTACATGTTGCTCAGCTGGGTGTAGTCTTGTTCGGTGAATCTGTTAATTATAAACAAATTATTAATCTTAAATTGAACAAACAAAATATTTGTTTGAATTCGAAAAGTCAAAAGTGTTAATGAGCGACGTCCGCTATGACACTTTCTCATTTTCAATTCCAGCTGCCAAGGGATTTCATCGGATCATCAAGGGACATCGATTTCATATTTTATATAATATTCATATATCTTTAATTTGTCACATAAGGACTAATAAAGATATCAAAACCAATAAATACAGTCCACTCTCATTTACCACTACCCAACAATATTGTTTTTTTTTTCTTTCTGTAGACCTGGTCTCAAGGAAATGTTAATGATTTTAGAGATGTACCTTGGTTTATTGCTATTTAACATGTCTAAATTTTATAAAAATATATCTTGACACAAAATCTAGCGCAAAATCTATAAGTTTTGCAAACATCGCTTTCATGCAAATTTGTTTTTTTTTTGTCTCGCGATTTTTTTTTGTTTTTGTCTTTTGTTATGATAAAAATCAAATCACCCTTCGATGTTGTGCGATTGTGCTGACATCTGGTAGACGGGGAGGTACGGCCCGATTCGTATTTTGACTGTGACGTCAGTCGGCGGGTTCGGTTCGCCAACCTGTGACAGACAAACAACAGGATTCAATATCTCTTTGATTTCTCCTTTGCAGATATTGTATGGGGTTACTTACAGAATTTCCAAATGCGAAGAAAACGAGCGGGAACCAGATTATTGCAATGACGAATGCCAGTACACAGCCTCCCAATAGATACTTGGATGTGCTCGACTTCTTCACGCCTCGTGGTTGGGGAAATTCATCTTCTACGTAGCGAGAACACTACACACATTTGAAATTTAAAAATTATTTTATTTTCCAATACTAAACGGTTTTTGAAGTCTGTAATAACTATACATCGGTCGAAAACGAAACGTCAAGAGATTTTTTTTTAAAAAACTAAATTGGAGTATTGATTTCAAATAACCAGTTCTCAAATTTGTTAACTTTACTTGTTCATTTCTTTAACATAAATACTAGAATGTGTTTGACATGAACATAAACATGACAACATTATATTTGTAAGACAAATTACCTTTAACAGGAAAACACTAGCGAATATATCCTCCATTTTAAGCCAGTCCATGAGGGTCATTGAAGTATCAGTCCATATCCAATCCATTAAAGTACGCAGCTCGAATACAAATGGAACCGCCATAAATCTGCGAATGGATTAGCAATTATTGGTTTATTTTTAGACTTTCATTCTATAGATTTACTTAAAATAATAACACACAACCGCAGTGTTATTATTTTTTATCAGTTAATAAAAAGGACGTACAAATGTGGGTAGGCCGGGATAAAGAGAAGATACAGTCAGAGTCTTAGAGATTTACTTAAAATAATTACACACAACCGCAGTGTTATTATTTTTTATCAGTTAATAAAAAGGACGTACAAATGTGGGTAGGCCGGAATAAAGAGAAGATACAGTCAGAGTCTTAGAGATTTACTTAAAATAATTACACACAACCGCAGTGTTATTATTTTTTATCAGTTAATAAAAAGGACGTACAAATGTGGGTAGGCCGGAATAAAGAGAAGATACAGTCAGAGTCTTAGAGATTTACTTAAAATAATTACACACAACCGCAGTGTTATTATTTTTTATCAGTTAATAAAAAGGACGTACAAATGTGGGTAGGCCGGGATAAAGAGAAGATACAATCAGAGTCTTAGAGATTTACATAAAATAATTACACACAAAGGCAGTGTTATTATTTTTTATCAGTTAATAAAAAGGACGTACAAATGTGGGTAGGCCGGGATAAAGAGAAGATACAATCAGAGTCTTAGAGATTTACATAAAATAATTACACACAACCGCAGTGTTATTATTTTTTATCAGTTAATAAAAAGGACGTACAAATGTGGGTAGGCCGGGATAAAGAGAAGATACAGTCAGAACCGTAAAGAGGAACTCAATATTGCCCAAGACAATAAGAGGTAGACATTCATGGAAGAGAGATATACATTCAGAATTCAGCAAGGGCAGAATTATTTTTCAATGACCATCTGAGTTTTATTGGACATACTTCACCTAACATCGGCACAAACAGTATATTGAATATCGACAAATATCGAATAACGACTGTACAAATTTAAAGATTAAAATTGGTTTTCTAGACCAAACTCACCCTCTAAAGCATATCATGTTGAGGAATCGGTAGGACTTGCAGAGGAAGTTCCCGATGATACGTCTCGGGTACCCGCAGCGTATCTGATAGGCCGACAGCAGCAGGTAGATGCACTTCATCATGTACCACATTGGCGGGGGCGGTAATGTGTTGAACGACCTAAGGAAATTAAAACAGGTCGGTTTTCGCTTCCCCTTTCAACGTAACAACGTACATATTATTAGTGTAATATCGATGAATATATTTACTTATGTATCGAAGTTTTGGCATTTTTCACTTCCGCTTTTCACTGTCATTTCATTACGAAGCCTCCAGACCGAAATGGGAAGGATTGTTTCTTTTTTACACGATATTCTAAGTATACTTACTATACTTGAGACCTTAGAACTTATATCTCAAAGTGGGTATTTACGTCGTAGACGTCTATGGGCTCCAGTAACCACTTAACACCAGGTGGGGTGTGGAGGTCGCAATATTATGACAAAACTAATTAAAAATATATGGTGATAGGCATTGATAGTTGTCCAAAAAGCGGATATAATTAATTTCTTAAATGATGTTTATGTCATCGCATTAATGGCACCAATTCTTCAAATAACCGATAGTTAATTAGATTTCACTGGTGGTAGGACCTCTTGTGAGTCAGCACGGGTAGGTATCACCACCCTGCCTATTTCTGCCGTGAAGCAGTATCGCGTTTCGGTTTGAAGGGTGGGGCAGCCGTCGTAACTATACTTGAAACCTTAAAACTTATATCTCAAGGTGGGTGGCGCATTTACATCGTAGATGTCTATGGACTCCAATAACCACTTCACACCAGGTGGGCTGTGAGCTCGTCCACTCATCTAAGCAATAAATAAAAACTTATACATATTTATATTTTTCATTCGTTAAGACATACCTCTCCGTGATGAAGGGCAGCACAAAGAACATCCAGATGTGAACGCCGATGATGAGCGCGTATTGGAACAGTATCTTGCCGAGCATGTACTTTCGTAAATACAACGCTCGGTCGATGATGATCAATATGAATTGCAGGATCAACATTATTAAAAACGGAATGGGCACTTTGTTCTCTTCTATGTACGCTTGAACGCCGCCATCGCCCTGGTGGGTCTGTACGGTGAAGTTAGAACAGTGAACAGATTATTAATTTATATATTAGTGAAGAAATCTCATGTAAAATGAACACCGTAATAAATGAACATCGGTGGTAAAGACACAGTCGAAGTGAGTTGAAGTCGTCGTGGCCTAAAGGATAAGACGTCCGGTGCATTCGTGTTGAGCGATGCACCGGTGTTCGAATCTCAGGCGGGTACCAATTTTTCTAATGAAATACTTACTCAACAAATGTTCACGATTGACTTCCACGGTGAAGGAATAACATCGTGTAATAAAAATCATACCAGCAAAATTATAATTTGCGTCATTACTGGTGGTAGGACCTCTGGTGAGTCTGCGCGGGTAGGTACCACCACTCTGCCTATTTTTACCGTGAAGCAGTAATGCGTTTCGGTTTGAAGAGTGGGGCAGCCGTTGTAACTATACTGAGATCTTAGAACTTATATCTCAACGTGGGTGGCGCATTTACGGTTGTAGATGTCGATGGACTCCAGTAACCACTTGCCACCAGATGGACTGTGAGCTCGTCCACACATCTAAGCAATAAAAAAAAAACAGTTAAGCCTGTCCTTATCTGTTCTTTACGAGATATCTCAATGGTATTTTTTTAAGAGAGACACATCATGTGTTCGTTAATTCGAAATCTCGATTATACGGGACAAGTTATCTCTTCTAAAGACGCACAAGCAGAACAAGCTTAATACATAAGTGTATTTTTTTGTTGCTTTTGCGAGTCACAATGGTACCACCGATGAAGTGTCAACTACGAAAATATTAGGATAGTCGTTGTCTCACCCCAAAAGCGGCAAATCCGAATATGACGACGAGGAAATTGAAGAAGTCACACAGGAACATGTACGCGTACACGTCGGCGGTGACGCGCGCGCCCGGCGTCAACATCCGCTTGAAGAAACGCTGCGTCGGACGCAAGTACCGCTTCACTCTGCCGGTGCGGAGTGCAGTGTTCATATATAGGATATTTTTTACCTCCTTCCTATTCGCTGGTAGCTTAAGAGGCTATTCCAGCTACGCCCGGACGGATAGGTGAGCTCAACCTGAGAGAATTTGATAACACAGCAAGAGCAGTTTTTCGCAGACTCAGAAGATACGGCTAGAAACTAAGTGGGATACAGAGGTATCAAACGTGTGACGTCACAACATACCCTCGTCCATACGTTGTCAGAGTAGTCAATTTGAAGCAAAATCTATTTATTGTTTTATTGGTGACAGATAGGTATCGTAGTGTATCACTTAGAAAAAATTGAACTTGCACTGCTTTATCACATGACATTCCCACTGAGTTTCTCGCCAGATCTCCTCAGTGGGTCGCGTTTCCGATCCGGTGGTAGACTCTGCGAAGCACTGCTCTTGCTAGAGCCAGTGTTAGCAACACTCCCGGTTTGAGCCCCGTGAGCTCACCTACTAGCTTGGTGAATCTAGAATGACCCCTTGAGGTTACTAGAATAGGTAGGGGAAAAAAGACATGACTACTTTTAGGCGATGGACGCTGCATTACTACAATTTTGATTTTAACATTAGACATCATATGAATAGTATTTCATTTAAGTTTCAATATTAATAGAATGATTTTTTGCTCCACGCAACTAATAATAAAAAATACTCGAAGTTACTTACGACAAAAGCATGACTTTCGGGTAATGCTTGTACGTGTCTTCCATAGTTGTTGTTACAGCGATAATGGGCTCTTGATCGTCGTTTACACTGTCAATCGAAAAAGTGCACTCTCAATAAAGTTTTTGTTTACAATAAATTTTAGTTTCATTGGTTTCTTATAATATTATAGAAAAATGACATATGTATATGCCATTTTATTTTCTTTAATTGCGTTTATTGAAGTAAAATTCTTTAGGCGCGTTGAGAGTAAAATCTAACTTGCGGCAGATTCGTTACGGCTAGACAGAAAAACTAAAATTTAGGAAGAGCGAGAGTGAGAAAATAGAAAAGGTGTCTCGCGAACCACTCGACCTTGGAGAAAACGAGAAAGCGAGCTAGGTCGTTTCTCTTATACACATTCTGTTTACGGGCGTCGGCCACTAGACAGCTTGTTATTAGTTTCTCATTGCTCCTGTAGATGACATATTAACTATCTTATATTTTACGTTTAATGAAGGATTTTAAAAAAAATCTATTTAAAATATAAAATATATATAAATGGTGAAGAGGTTGTTTCTCTTATACACAGCATTCCCCATTACAAGAGAAATTTGATTTAAGGATGAAAAATGTAGAAATCCACAATACTACACACCGCAAAAGAAGTTCCACTTCTTTCACTTTCTTTTTATTTATTAAACAAACACGTCTCACTTGTAATGATCATCGTCGATTGGTTTCGAGGGTCCCGCTTCTTCATAGTCGCGCTGTTCTTGCAGGCGTACCCCCTCTCCGATACTTCTGTTTGAGCCATTATCATCCTCACCTTCTCGTCTGTATGTAAAATATTTTTTTATTTTACTTTCATATTGTATTAATTGCATTTTTTTAATGACAACAAACTATATAATCTGAATAACATTAAAAAGCCTTACACTAAATACATTTCTTTTAATGTTTAGATATAAAATAGTGGAGGTAATTTTTTCTGAGTATTCTAAATAATGGTTACCACAATTAAATACCAACTTTTACCTATACTTACAAAAACGTAGATTTATCCATATAGATGAACAGGAGTTAGCTCTATATTTTTCCAACACATTTTTTCTTTATTTATTCAACTAAAGTGTATATGATGCTTTATTTTAAAAACACTAACTATTGCATATTCAAATCTAATTCAGTAATAATGATCTCTATACATGGATAGGAGTTAGTCCTATATTGTTTCTAACACATTTTTCATGGTTTATTCAACTAAAATGTACACTATGTTTTAGTTTAAAAATACTGTCTATTGCATATACTAATCTAATTCAGTAACTATGGACTAAATGTACAACTGCAAGTTGGTTAACTGCAAAGTTTTTGATTTATGTACCGGTCTGATTCGTTATGGCAGACAAAGATTTGCGGTCGCATCAGATGCCCTATCCGCAACTGTGGTCTCTTCACTGACATCTTCAGCACAAACGTGCGGAACGAGAACGGTGGCTGCGACCGTCGCCCTCGACGGTAACGACTGTCTGATCCGTACATTCGAACTATATTAAGCCATTCTATACTCTACGCTATATATATATATATATATATATAAATGAATTGCTGTTCGTTAGTCTCGCTAAAACTCGAGAACGGCTGGACCGACTTGGCTTATTTTGGTTTAAAAATCCAGAGAAGGTTTAAAGGGTAGATAAATATGAAAATGCTCGGATTTAAATAAAAATGACAATTTTGTTTTCCTTTTGATGTGTCCCCCGTCGGACGGATTCCTTTTGGTTGGTTTTAAGGTTATTTTATACAAAAGCTTAGTTCTTTTATTTGTCGATTAAGGCACTACAAAGTCTGCCGGGTCAGCTAGTGCTATATAATAATAGGATTGCACCATCGCAGAGCCTTAACTTTGGTTACTAGTAATAGATGTAGAAAATTACAGTAGCAGTGAACCGTAATATGAACATTAAAATAATAAGATGCAAACAAACAAAAGAAACATAAAGATTCAAAAATGCAGATGCGGAATAGTTCTTTAGTCTTCATTTGAGTCATCAAATGAAGTTCATACTGTGTGCAATATGTTAATACCCGCTTGCCCTGAGTTCTCTCTAAGCTCAAGTTTTAAAACAAGAGTGTGCAGGTGTGTTTAAAATATGTCAGTAAAATGATTTCGTTGGGAACTAGCTACGCCTGCAGCTTCGCCCGTAACAAAATGTAATTTTATATTTAAATCTTAAAAAGTCCTTAGACGATCCAGAAAGCTGAATAAGTAAGACAATTTTAGGAATATACATAGCAGTTCAAGAGATAAAAATCACCAAGTATTCAGCACTAAAGTAACTATCTTCGTCGGACTTGTCATGTCATCCTTTACACGTGTGCACAGCTTCATATCAATTGGACTAACGGTTCTCGAATTGTTGGTAAACATAAGCGCATAAATACGTTTTATTTTATATATATTAAGATATTGTTAAGCCGGTAAGAGTAACGCCATCTATCGCCGAATAGTCGAACAAATACCGAAGGATCTAGTAGCATCTAAAACGCTCGAGAAGTACAACGCCATCTATTGTCAGATGGCGGAAACACAATAATACTCGGATTTTGTGGAATATTCTCGACGATTCTAGGGATTTCGTCTCGACTATGAAAGCGTTGCAGAGATGGCACGCAGTCAGTTAGTAATCGGAACTACTTGAAGCGAAACAGCGAACGGATCACCTAAGTCGAAGCGAATTGAGAATTTTAAAGTGTTTGTGAAGTGTTCTAAGTGCTAATACAGCGTTAACTTGTATTTAATTCGGTAGAATTTTTATTTATCCCGAACCCCAGCGCGTTACAATATATATGCACAGAAAAATAACTCACGGTCCGCTTCGGTCGTGCAGCTGCACGAATTTGCGTGCCACTTCGGCGGCCCGGCCCTCCACCACGAGCTGCGTATCCTCGGGCGTCAGGGCGTACTCCATGTCCTCTCGCAGTTCTATTTCTGGAGACGATTCCTTCCACAGTCCCAGTGATTTCAGCATGAATCTAAAATTGGTTTCGATTGATTCTCAAATGTTTTTTACATTACACCATATACATGTGTATGTTTAAAGAAGTTCATTATTTTATACATTATTTAAATTGGATGACATCTGACTTAGTAAAATTAATTGTTTTTATTTGATATTGATAGAGATATTGCAGGATGCTATTCTGGCTTTACATTAATTGAACAATCAACAGATTGTCGTTCTCTTGTAGAGACCTTACCTGTGCAGGAATATAATCAAAAGCAACAATAAATCGTAGATGGCGTAGTTCGGCTTCCTCTCAATACCAATAACGCGTGCAGTACTGAATGGAACGTTCGCTGGTACATTGTCGCGATTCCATGGCAATATTTCGAATTGGAACATACTTTTTATCAACACTATCACCTGAAAATGAATACATTCTTGTAAATTCACAAGAGTTTACGTCGGCATAGGAAGAGGGTGTCTAATAGACTGGCAACCCTGAGTACTCATTGACACCTTTACGGATTGCGTATCGGGATACTGAACTGCAAACAGTAGCACCCGCCTCACTTTGAAACTGCGAAGCACTGAACTTACGAATAATAATGCGACATTCCCTTCATCTTTTTTTTTTTATTTCTTAGATGGGTGGACGAGCTCACAGCCCACCTGGTGTTAAGTGGTTACTGGAGCCCATAGACATCTACAACGTAAATGCGCCACCCACCTTGAGATATAAGTTCTAAGGTCTCAGTATAGTTACAACGGCTGCTCCACCCTTCAAATCGAAACGCATTAGTGCTTCACGGCAGAAATAGGTAGGGTGGTGGTACCTACCCGTGCTGACTCACAAGAGGTCCTACCACCAGTGAAATCTAATTAACTATCGGTTATTTGAAGAATTGGTGCCATGAATGCGATGACATAAACATCATTTAAGACATTAATTATATCCGCTTTTTGGACAACTATCAATGCCTATCACCATATATTTTTAATTAGTTTTGTCATAATATTGCGAAATATTATACGGTAAAATGAAATGCATCAGTAACTTACACGCAAAAAGAGGTACTTATATTTTGTACTTATTATTCTTAAAATAAATATAAATATTGAAAAAAAAGGCTCCCTGTACCCAATTCTGAACACCCTGTATTTAATATGACAATGTAGATACATATATGTATATTACCTCAGTATATGCGATAAGCGTGACCCAGAAGGTCTTCGTTGGCCTCGGTATTGTCAGTGTGCCCCACAGGAACACCATTAGTGGTAACGGTATAGATAAAATCGTAGCGGATTGTATCTGAAACGTCCAGTAACCTTTAATGTTACGAAAACAATACTGTATTGAAAATATTGTGGCGTCAATGTTACCTGGTTTATAAACACCATAATATAGCACACAATGTCAGTGTGCGCCAACACCGCGTACCACAAGGCGTAGGTCAAATGTAAAAATGGAGATCTGTCCTGTTTAAACATAGAATCGTCCTGCTCCTCTAGGGTTGTCACATCCTTGCTGAAAGGGCATAAAATTAATTAGCAACTCGCTTTACGATCGATTGATACTGAAAGCGCTTTTGAGTTTCTTTTTTTTACAGTGAACGTTACACAAACTTAATCAGTTTTGAACAGTGTCGAATCAGAAGAGAAGTGACGTCATAAAGTTATTAATTCATCTTAAAGAATACATCATGCTGTTTCACCCTGAAAATTAAGACACCCATTACGTTCTGTAATACTTACCTCGAACCTGTTGTGTAATTAACAAAAACAACAAAAGCAGCGATATCGTGACATAGTAGATTGAAGTGAGATGAACCAGATAAGAAATAATAAAATTGAAGTATGAAGCCCATCGAACTTAACGACGTTTATCACCTAACATGTACCCTCATTTCAAAAATAACACGAAAAAATAACTAAGTTGTTTATTTTAGTCTCTACACTTACTTGAGACGACAGTCAATGATAATTTGTAAAGTATTATTTTTCGGTAGATCAAATATTATGTTTCGTCTAAACGATTTGTCTTACTTGAATAATCTAAAGCAGACAAAGATACGAACGTGATGTTGCGAGCACAGAGTAGCTAACAAGGAGCTATACTTGTTAAAGTAAAACCGTGCAAATAGTAGAATGGTGCAATATGTTTCAGCAAATCCATAGAGATCTGGACAATTATCCATTACAATTGAAGTGTCAACATTATGCAAACACGGTTGAGCGCAACTTTATCAGATAGGTGTTTAATGTAAACAAAAATAATAATAATAATATAAACAATAGCAACAACTGGCATAATGCTATAAATAAAGATTCTATATTCAATCCATTTTAATGTCACATAAAAATAATGATTGTTTTAACTGAATTAATTAGCATTGCTTATTTGCTTATTTCCTTGGTTCTATGTTTTTGATTGGAATAGCATTAATCAATCATGAACAAAAATTCCGTGGGCTGTCAGTGGGTTTCGAGGGATAAGGCCTGACGAAGCCGAAATTAGCCGAATGACCCCTTCCAAAGGTCGATGTGGAATATTTATCGCCGGGTACTGTACAGTGTTGTGCAGGTTTGTTTCCAAGTAAGACAACGTTTAAACGAACATTAAAGGTATTGAAAAATAAGATAATTACTTTTGACATATTTTTCTACCCTATACTAAAAATCGATGTGTAGTAGATTCACAATATATTATAATGTGGAAAAATCATACATATTTATTCTCTATCTTTGAATGAGAGTACATGCGTTGGTGTGTAGGAACCTTCCGGTGGTCTGCAATGAAAACGCGCTCTCGTGCTCCGAGGTGTCGGTAGTATCGGCGGTGTCGTCCTGTTCGTGCGGGGGGGAGGGGGGAGGAGGAGGACTCGTGTCCAGGCCGCGCTCCATGCTCGGCGCCAGGATGCGGATCTCCGGCACGCTTATGTCGCTTAACTTACGACTGGAAATACCGTCACAATACTAAGCTATTACCATCATTACACCAATAATTTGCTTCGAATTATAATTTGACCTTGCAATTCAGTTCATTATGTGGAGACTGATTTCTTTAATTTCTACTATCTATACTAGGAAAGATTTGTCTGTTTGTTTGTATTGAATAGGCTCCGAACCTACTGAACCGATTTGAAAAATTCTTTCACTCTTTGGAAGCTACACTATTCGCGAGTGACATTATAAGCCAAAATCTTTTGTGAAAAAAATTAGGGATCCTTACTACAACTCCAATAATGTAACACAAGGTGTAAAAAAATACCTAAAATATTCTTTAGATCGCGTGCCCTGCGAAAACTACTAATGATAGAATAAAATAATGTACTACGACTTTGTAGAACACATTATTATTTACAAAAAGTGTCGCGACAGCATATGTTAAATATTATAGTTATACCGCAATAAGTGTTCTTTTATTTAAAAAAATAAAACAAACGTTGAAATTTTTGTTAAAGACCCGAGCGGAGCCGGGGCGGACCGTTAGTCCTATATATAGAAAAAAAAAACAAATGACAAGTTCTAGTACTCACTCTTACAAATACTATGTTTAGTGAGATCTACGATAATTGCTTATTCTAATTTTCTACCTTGAACAGTATGTAGGTTATATAGCTACGTTTAAAATAGTACATAAGACATATACAAACCCCATTTCAACATCAGGAGCCAGTAGGTTTTTATCAAGATTATCCACTTCGATACGAGGTCTAAATGCAGCATGCAAAAACAATATGCTACTAACTAAAAGGCATACGATGATCTCATACGATGATTCTCAATACATTAAACTACAGGTGATGTATAAATTAATTTACAAGCATTACCGTTACCATATACATTACGCGAACCAATAACGTCGTTAGAGCGTGGTTTATGATCAATATCATTCGGTGGAGTTGTAAATGAAAACATTCTGGATACAAATTATTTGCATAATGCCCATACTGCATCAATCTATCATGAACGAGCCACCGCCACTAGCGTATTATAAATTTGTAATACACTGCGTGCTGGCTTTACAACAATATCACAGATACTCACTGATGTATCAACGCCTCGGGTAGCGGTTCCCAGATCATCTGCGAGCCCTCCCTCAGTCCGATGCCGAAACCTTCTTTTTCCTAAAAAGTAAAAAAAAAAGTCATTTTTACGTAGTAAATAATTATGTAGGCACTTTACATAACGTATTTGTAAACGCATTCGTGATGGAAAAAATCTATAAAGTTTATTTTGAATAATTTCCGTATTTATTATATTTTTAGACAAATATCATCGGTCATTAATTTCAATGGAGATTACGTAGATGCATAGGGTTACACACCTACGAGTAGTGTATCGATAAACAAGTCGATTACCTACTTGAATATTTTGTACTAGCGACCCGCCCTCGCTTCGCTTCGGAAACTGTAATTTATTATTGATTTCTCCACTATTTAATGGATGTTGTTATATATATAAACCTTCCTCTTCAATCACTCTATCTATTAAAAAAACCGCATCAAAATCCGTTGCGTAGTTTTTAAAGATTTAAGCATACATAGTGATATAGGGACAGAGAAAGCGACTTTGTTTTATACTATGTAGTGATAAAGTACGTTCTTCAATGTATTAAATATATTTTCTAAATCATACGAACCTTTAGGATCTTCTTCTCGACGGATAGAGTTCGTGAGACATATCGATAATCGCGCGAGTATCGCATCAGGTATCGTGTTACGGACACCAAAAAGCTCGAAATGAACGCCCAAGCGGTTTCCATGAAACGCTTCAGCTTTTCAAATGCAGTCTCTTGTTCTAAAAAAAAATTAAAAATATTTATATTTGTAAAAAAAAAAAAAGACAGGATGATAATGTTACTAATAAAGGTAAGGTTGTCATAAAATTACGCCTTTTTAGTAACATTAATTCAAATTAACTAGTATTGGCAATATTTTGTAATAATACAGGGTATACATGTATATACAATTAAACAGCACCGTCGAAATACCTACCTATTAGACTATTAATTTAAAACCAAATCGACAAGGTTAATAAAAAAAAATCATTTAAACCTACAGAGATCCGCAGTTTTTTTTAGTGACGTTAGAGCGTATTGTAAGTCTTCTCGTGTACGTGCCACGGACTGTCTATGTCGGATTGTGCAGTCTATGTGATTTGGTAACCACTTGACACCAGATGAAGCCGTGAGCACATATGTATAATCTACGGAATAAAGTAAATAAAAGTAAAAGGACGTTTTTTTTAAGATTCTTGAGTCTGTCTGGTTGTTGTTTTAGTGAAAACTCTAACTAGATGATGTCCGAGCTTTGCTCTTTTTTTTTTTTATAACGCCATCTTGTTCTGTCTTTAAAGCGGTTAGTTGCCCTCAATTAAGAAAAATAGTATTATTATTCGCCAATAGATGTCGGGAAGAGTTGATTATTGAAAACACGAATAAAACAACATTTTCTGAAAATAAATCGTAGCTAGATCGATTTATCGCCCCCGAAATCCCCTGTATAGTAAATTTTATGAAAATCGTTGGAGCCGTTTCCGAGATTCAGATTATATATATATTAATATACAAGAATTGTTCGTTTAAAGGTATAAGATTTAAGGACATTTTACGCCGTTTTTTTTCTATTAATTTAGAAACCGCGCGTCGAGCAATTTCGAATATCGTACACAATAACACAAATTGTTAATAATGAGCCCGAGATTGATAACTGTATTTGAATAACATTTCTTTCTGTATACCTACCGGGCAATGGTGCGTAGTCATCTATGTCAGAGCCGGGCGGATCGCCTTCTCTCTCACCTAAAGCCGGTTTCACATCTCCCTCTTGTACAATTTCCCCTTGTGATTGTTTCCTTCGAACCTGTGCCAACTCTTTCATATTAATCATAAAAAATACATTTGCGCATACACATTTTAATAAAGCGTTACATGTTATTGTATTGTAATTTATAATATAATAATTGACTCATAAATATTGAACGTAAGTGTATGGCAATCTATAAAAGGTAAAATATGGGATAATAAAAAGTTTGTTAAATATCGGAGTATTCGATTTCACATCATAGTGAATGACAAGACCAAAATAAAATGAGCCGTGCAAGGATTTAAAAGCGTTAACACTACTTAGCAGTTATTAGTTAGCGCAAACATGCTGCCGATTTATTTATATTTAACGTGGTCCTGTAAGAAAAGAAAAACAGAGTCGCCAAACAAGCAAAGTATTAGGAAATTCTGAAAAATAAATATAATCTTAAATAATGAAATTGTCATATTTGGGATGAAGATTGCTCGTTATAGTTTTTGTAATGATTGTGGATGGCACTCACATACCCTATATAGTTATATGATTCAGATAGCGTTACAGTCCAAGAACCACATTAAACCAACTTTATATTGAACTTTGGTATTCGAATATAATAATATACTTCGCGTTGACTAGAGTATTAATGAATAAATAGAGAAAATAAGAAAAAAGAAATAAAACCATTTGCGGAAACAATTTGTGCGACATCTAGCATGCTTTTTTTTTACTATGCCAGAAACAATAGACACTCGAAAGTATACAATATACAAAAATGCATTATACAAAAATATTTATACAAAATTACCTAAAATTAAAGAAACCTGTACTTACAGCATTAAAAAATGTAATATTGGATGTACATTATGTATTTATATTTATTTATGAATTGTATTAGATATTTGGTTCGTCTAAGAATATCCAAAGAGAGAGAGAGAGAGATCTTACCTTATTTTGATAAATGGTAGCGCTTAGTTTAAAGATTTTCAGAAAGAAATTAAACGTATATCATTTTTTAAGTCAAATTGTGAGTTTATAATCACAAAACTTTTTCAATCAGTTGTGTATTATTTGAATAAAAAATTACAACACATTGATCTATATCAATTCTAATTACTGTAGATTGAGGGAATAGGAACTAGGGGTAGAATTGGGATAAATTTGGGTTGTCACAATGCTTTTGTGAGATTTAATTTTTTTGAATTGAAAAGGATTTTTATTTACTGTTTAAAAATACTAAATAGTTTAATTTAGTCATCAGAGTTTTGTAACTGATTACAGATATTGAAAAATTAATTAACTAAAGGTAAGTACCTACCTAACAACTAAATAGTGCTAGCCCTATCGAAAATCTATTGTCCCCATACATGACCAGATTCCACCCCAAAAGCCAAGTTGAATCAGGTCAAGCTAACTTTTTAAGTTTTTGTGTATATTTTTCAATGAACTATGTATGCGTCGTATATGAGAATTGAAGCCTCCAGAACGAATTGAAGTCCATGGGCGACGGTAACCACTCACCATCAGGTGGGCCGTATGCCCGTCTGCCTACAAAGGCAATATAAAAAAAAAAAAAAGAACCATTTTAATCTCAATTTTATTGGTATTACCCTAAAAAAAACCTCTGAAAATTTGTGTTGAAATTGGAAAACGTTCCCATTCCCCCCCAATCTACTGCAATAATGAATTAAAACAAATTATTTTCCTTAATAGTATTGCGGTGTGGCTTGTACTAGGACGAGTTTACCTCATGCGGATAGGAGAGCGGGTAGCTGCCGAGCGAGAGATGCCGCGAGGAGCGCACGGCGGGCGCGGAGGCGCGGCGCAGCGACACGGCGCGCTGCACGTCCGTCTTGATCGCGGTGGACACGAACTGACCCGCCACACATCCGCACACGTAAGCGCGCACGCACTCCACCCCGTGCCCGACGCTTCTCAATGTTACTTACTAACTGTATCGGTAAATCAGCAGAGGCAACACTCGCCTCTCCAGAAATACAATACAAATCTTCAAGCCAGTTCAGGCGGTGGCTAGGGCTAGTCTAAGAGCTCTCTTGAAATACATATTGATAAGGAAATATTCTTTTTTCCGAATCGTTTCTGCATCGTGCACGGTATGGAGGCGTGGCTGTGCATTAGTAATACAGGACAAAGAGTTAGTCACCTTAAGCTGCATTGCACATATATATCTCTAAACATGTATAACTTAATTCATTCGATCATGCGCTTTTTACGAATGTACCTACACACTTCGCTATTATAATAAACGCATGCCCACTACCAAGGACGACTAAAATTCCCACAAAAATCTACACAAATCGGACATAACTGAAAACATTAATTCCCAAGCAATTATATCAATTTCATTAAAGAGTCCTTTGACATAACAAACAAGCATAGTAAAGGAACACCATTTTCACAAGATTCCCGACTCCAACATTAAAATAATGTAAGCGATAAATAAGGTCGTACCTTGCCGAATCCCATTTCTTTAGGCGCGTCTTCGTCGGAACTGGATTCGTCGTCTTTCATATGGATGTCGGTGTCATCGAACTCATCAAACATGTAGTAATCGCCGGAACGAATAGCTGTATATACACAACTCTGTTAAATTCCATTTCACATCAAATTACACGTAACTAGAGTTGAAAAAATCGTTATAATATGTTCATTTAAGTGTGACCAAAAAATTTTACTTTAGTTTATCAAAAGATGATATTTCATTAGGACATTAAAGTTAACAAAATTTAAAGAAAATTCTAGTTACGTTCTTTTTTTCAATATTTAATAATATTACAAATGTGTCTGAGTAATTCCATAAAAAAAAAACACAAAATACGCTTGTGCTAGTGGTGATTGCTTGCGAATATTTAAAAACAATCAAATGTGGGAATTCATAAAAACATAATACCAGTGTATTTATTTAACAGAAAAAAAATATCTAGGAGAACAGCACACATACATGCATATAAAGCCTTACAAACAATCATGCGATCAAATAAGCCGGCAAAACAGCACAATTATTTTTTTTACATTATATTACAAGATCCCAAATTAATAGAGAGCGACATGAAGGGTGTCCCCGCCACGATGTTACTTGCCTAAATACCAAAAGCTGCGGAGGGTTAGAAACGCAGATACAAGGTTAGAGCGAATTTCGACTGAACGTTACCCTTCTGATGGCTCGCGGGCGGCTTATACGGCGGCCTGTCTCGAACTACAAGAAAAAAGCACAACTCAACTCGCAAGTCGCAAACCGAACAGCACCCTACAAAGTTTACGAGGAGCGCGTCCGAGACAAGCTCAGGATGTTAACAACACGACAGTTTTCAGGAGATTGTTATTAAGCGTAGACGAGAAGACAAAGTGGTTCCCTATACATCCCCATTGAGTATGTTTGTAGGAAATGTAATTGCACACTTCTATTGAAATAGTTTCATGAAATTCTTTATGAATCCAATGTTACATTTTAAATGAACACCATTAGTTAACACGAGTATCTGTAGGCGAGTTTAGTACCATGAAATTTTGTTTAGGTAATGAATTTCAAAATGTAACATTTTTGCATCGAAGTTTGGTGCAACAGCAAAAGGAAATCGAGTATTAAAAATGGTACACAGAAAAATCAAGTCTTCATTATTGTTAACACGAACCAACACCCATTGTCCAATTGACAATTGATTTACCTTCGTGCCTCTTCGAATAAACTCTTCTCCTAAACGCGAATTCTGATTGAATTCCTATTTGGATAAAATTTTATAAATTAAAAATAAGAAGAATTTCAATGATGCTGTACAAATTTTTACATCGTGTCACAACGATTCAGTGTATATTCAGCCGCATGATAAACAGAGGCTCAGTAATAACTTTCGAAATGAACAAAACCAAATTCACGTCAATTCAATTAATTTTTTTTAAATTATTATTTTCAATTTCGACATGTTTACTTATACTCAATTGTGTAGATGCGATAAATACCAGACTCGACGGTGGGATGTGTGTTATTAAAAATCAATCAGCGCAAATCTGATCAATCTTAATTTAATAGTGTAAGAACGATTACTGAGCCTCAACGTGTCCCGCACTAATAAGTGCACATCGAAAATTAATCAATTACACGTATGGTGAGAGTGAGGCTCGGCGCGGCTGGACTGCGATATGAGGGACGTCCGCTGCAGGACGCTCGGGCTCGCGACCGTGTGGCGCCGGCGCACCGGGGGGGGAGAGAACACCGGGTACGACTCCTCCGGACTGCGGGCGCGGGGGTTCAACTCCGACGAAGGGGGGGACTCGAACGATATGCGTCGTGGCTCCAGGTACGCCTCGAGAGAGACGGTCATGAGGGCGGAGGACGGGGAGGGCGGGCCGGGCGCGGGCAGCGCTGCCGGGAGGGGCAGGGGCGACGGGGTGGGGGAGCGGGAGGGTGGTGCGGAGGGTTCACTGAGCGGAGTATGGAAGCCGCGCTGGGAGGCGGGACTGTCGGGCGTGTGGTAGCCGCGGCCCGACGTGTCGGAGTCTCCGCGCACCAGCGGCACTTGTTCCGACTGGCCACCGGGACTCTCCTCGTCCTCTTCTGCTTCAACGAGGCGCGAAGTAACAACAATTTAACGGTTCAATTACAATTAAAAGTAATTTACGGGATGTTAATTGAAAATCGAATGCAACACTACGATTTCTGTGATTCATTTGATACAATTCCGTAATGTTGAGTTTACCGATAAGAGTTTATTCAGAAATATCCTATCAATAAAATGGAAAACAAAATATTCTTTCTTACCGATATCGTGGTGAGGTGGTTCTTTACTAATAACACCCTGTATTTTCTTTTGATTTGCTTTGATCCTCTCCATTTTAACTTTGATTTTCTCTAATATCTTTTTCTCTTGTTCCTCTTGAACCAACATTTGTTTTTGTCGTAATTCTTCGATCAACTCGGCTCCTCTGTAAAACGTGATGCCATTGGTGAACGCCTATGCCGAGAGGAAGTTTAAGCTTGTGTGAAAGCTGACGTCCGATACATACCTGGACGCGAGTACTGTGGTGGCTTTACTTTCATCGATGACTCTAAAGAAATAATAGCTATGGAACAGACGGCGCTGTAATATCAGAAACGCAAAACATACTCCGTCCCAAGCGAGTCCTATGTCTTCTTGAGGCACCGAACATATAGGATCCTGAAATGTTTTAACAAACTCTTACATCAGTTCTCAGATAAAATTATAACACATTCACATCATCATTCATCATCATTATCCTGCCCTTTTCCCAGTCACCTGGGGTCGGCGCATCATGTTTTCTTCTTCCATACTCTTCTATCATATACCATTTCTTCGGCCACTCCCTTCTTACCCATATCGTCTTTCACGCAATCCATCCATTTCTTCTTAAGTCTACCTCTTTGTCTATATCCTTCCACATTCATAATTAACATTCTCTTACCAACCTCATTTTCATTTCGTCTCATCACATGTCCATACCATCCCAAACGCACACTTCTCAGCTTCTCTGTCACAGGTGCCACTTTCAGACTCCCTTTAACATATTCATTCCGTATTCTATCCATTCTCGTTACTCCACACATCCATCGCAACATTCGAATCTCTGCGGCATGCAACCGCATTCACATCAACAGCCATTACCTTTTCATAGTTCATCTTGATGAACCTGGCGATGTTTCCGCCGGCGAACTTGTCGACGCAGCCGATACCCAGCAGCTGCACCAGCCAGCAGGCGTGCTCTTGCAGCACCGAGATGAACAGACAGCCCGGTATCTGCAGCAACGACTTCACCACTACAACGGACACGTTGTACCGAAGTAGCCACGACCACCTGTAGATTTTTATTTATTGCTTAGATGGGTGGACGTGCTCACAGCCCACCTGGTGTTAAGTGGTTACTGGAGCCCATAGACATCTATGACATAAATACGCCACCTACCTTAAGATATAAGTTCTAAGGTCTCAATACAACGGCTGCCCCACCCTTCAAACCGAAACGCATTACTGCTTCACGGCAGAAATAGGCAGGGTGTTGGTACCTACCCGCGCGTACTCACAAGAGGTTCTACCACCTAGAATTCAGATAATTTCGTTTGTTTTTACTTACCACTGTAAAATCGCTTCTTTCGGTCTCAAATAAAAGTCAGTTCCTTGCCATAGGAAAATAAACGAGCCGATTAGATATCCCATTGAGAAAAGATTGACTCGGTTGGTGCCCGTCATGAACATTATGGCTAGAGTAACCCACAGCATCCCCAAAAACACCATGCGTTTCACTACGTCCAGCCACGTACTGTAAACAAAAAAACAATGATAAAATTTAATCCTTTAAAGATCTAGCACTTATTTCATGAGGTATACTTATCTGATATAGTTTTACGATATTTAATGCTAAATTAAATTGTAACGTCGGCAAAACAACTATCTTTACTGGTATAAAGGGTAAGATATTCAACAGTAATCAATTGAACTAAGCTATTGTCAGGTCAGCTACACTGACCGGACGGGCTGTTGGTACTTATGGCTTATACTTAGAAAGCTAGGCAGGTAGGAAGGTAGGCAGCGGCTTGGCTAGTAGGCAGCGGCTTGGCTTTGCCCCTGGCATAGCTGAAGTCCATTTGCGACGGTAACCACTCACCATCAGGTGGTCCGTATGCTCGTCTGCCTACAAGGGCAATAAAAAAAAGCTACACGTACGTCACACAACCGAGGAAGTCCGGAACAGGGTTGACGAAATTCGGAGTTTCCCAGTCCTTGCCGATGTCTTCGCTGTTGGAGCCGCCGGGATACTCCGCGCCGTGCGCTTTCTCGAGCCGGAACACGCGGAGCTGTCTCGTCGCGAACAGCAACAGGAAGTAATCGAAGATCAGTTTGATGGCGTGCGGGGGCTCCTCGGCGTACGGCAGGAACAACCATGTGCGGATGTGCTTCATGCGCTGCGGAACACGACGTCGAACAAAACATATTAATGGTGCTTAATTTGATATCAAATTCAAAACCTTAGGCTTCAGCTGATTCGGCCTCGGGCTGATCCTAATTTAAAAAAATTTTTTTTTGCAAAATTACTAGTAGTAAGTTGCACAGATAGATACTATCGCTCTACCGATTTCTGTTGCAAAGCAGTGGTGCAGTGTATAAAAAATGAGACGGCCGTTATGTAATACAATTGAGACTAAGACCTCGTGTCCCAAGGTGAATAAAGGTAATCGTCGTTAAATAAAGTCGTTTTCTCTGGGTATCCATTGATGCATCGCATGCCACTTAAAACGATTTCTTTTAATTGCAAGATCATACCGAGGAATCCCCACTCCAAGGGTAGGACACGCACAGCTGCGGCAGGAAGCCGACCGCCACCATGTACTGCACGGGCACGAAGAAGGTGACGAAGCAGGCGAAGGCCGGCCACAGCCGAGCCTGGCGCGCCCGCCGCGCCGCCACCAGCGCCAGCAGCCACGCCGCGTACAGCACGGCGTACACGTCCATGCGGGACCCGATCACGCCTATCAGGCAGATCAGCGTCACCTAGAACCGAACCACTTGTCATCGTCTATTCTAATTTAAAATTATCCGAGCGTAATCGAGTTGGTAAAACATGAAATATTATTTTTCTCCTACCTACACCGAAAGTTCGGTTTTCGTCCCGCTGTACAGGGAAGAAAGTTTAACTTTACCTCCCTAGGTACTGACAAGTGCGCATGCGCGTTAGTGTCTACGTCTGCTCTCGCGCACCTAGAATTCTCCGCCGTTGTTATGCTCGGGTGATTTGCAATATTGTGTTTAGTGTAAAAGTGAAATAAACAAAAGGCAATAAAATTTAATAGTGAAGTATTAAACAAAGATGAGTTCATCAGACAATCCTTATTCAATTAGTAGTAGTTTATTAAAAAATTTAAAAACAGTGAAATTGTTTTATTTATGAGTAAATAAAAAAGTTCGTTTAGCTTATTAGCTCATCGAAAACTCACCTCCACTCCGAATTTGTAAAATCCGTAATTAACTAAATATTTAATGCAGTGGATCAAGTCTTTGTCGGCGTCCTTGCGCGTGATATCGGGGAACATCACTTTTTCTCTCTCTTTAGGCGTCATTTCTAATTCCCTGAAAAAATAAGGAAGTTACTCAGGGAGACAAATGATATTTGGTTCTTCAAAATTACTAGCACTATTCATGAAATAATAGAGTTTATTATCGACAGATCTTATTGTGCATATTATTTAAGCTGGAATGGTTAGTGATGAGAGCATGTGATATCTGAAAGGATTCCAAATCTTATCGTGCAAAATCAAACAATTAGGGTTGGCGGGGACTCTTTTGGGCGATTTTTTTGTTCATTTGCTATCGATATTTGTTTCTGTATTTTTAATTGTAGTTGTGTATTAGTAATGTATTGTTTGTTTAATACTGGTTTATATGATTTGCAAAAGGTACTCCCATTACGGTTTTTTATTACCTTATAGTCTGTTGTCGATAGGTGACCAAGGAATAGAACGTAAACACAGCTATCAGTCCTATATAGCCTTTGAGTAGAACCACTAGAGGTTTCTCACGTGTCGCCTTGTGGAACCCGATCCATTCTGCGTTGTTGTACGTGTTCGTGACTATGTTCGTCGATGTCTCGTTAGCTTCAACCTGAAAATGTAACAGCTGATTCATACTAATTTCTTTTAATAGTTCTTTAATATTTAAATACAAATAATCAGCCAGGATCAGTAATTAGTTTTAATAACCATTATAGTTTCTATAAACATATAGTGTTTATTAATATATAACATTTGTGCTATCTATACTAATATATAAATCTACAGTGGTTTTTACGGATGTTCCGTTATAACTACTAAACCATGCATTCGATTGACTTGAAACTTGGTATCCATGTAGAAAATACATGTACTTAATGGATAGGCTAATATTTATATGAGTATTGGACTCCCTACACCAGTTGCGGGGGCGTTAATGATGAGAATCTTTGTGGGAGCGAGAAATGATAATGTTAATTTTAAATGACCAGCGAAGCGGACAGTTACAGCTGGTCACCAATAAGCTTACAACACGCCCAGTGATGTGGTAGGGCTCAGCTCTGAAGTCGGCTGATAATGTATGGTAAGCAAAAACATTAGAAATTAAATTTAAAATTAATCAATACAAAATACTCACTGAGGTACAATTAACTTCGAACAAAGAATGTTTGATATAATCAATCTGATAGACCATTTTCGCCATAAAATAAACGCTTATTAGAGTTGATATGAATAACACGCATATTCTTTGTTTCCGCGAACTGAACCACAGAGCTGGTGATATTATTATCATGATGGGAACGTGCATTGCGCATACCTGAAAATAAAATAAAAATTATCAAAAAACTCAACACAAAAGCTAGTTACTGAAAAACCACCAAAGAGACACGAATGTCATTTCTTAAACCAAAAAAACGACAAAAACTCGGCTTAGCTTAGATAACGTGAACTATTATTATTAGAACCAAACTATTATTTTTTGTTAAAAGTTTTTCACTGTGTAATCAATTATTGTTTTTTTTCTTCATTTTTTCAATTAAGATTCCTTTGCATTTTGCAAATTGCAAAGTTTATACGAACAGTCCAATATATCGTTTTATTAAAACAAAGAGATTTTACAACAGCGACGTACATACTACGTACATATCGAGGGGTGAAAGGTTATTTGTTTTAAACGACATTTCGCTTAATACGCGACATATATGTATCTTTGTAATTAATGGTGCTTTTTATATGGTATTAGCATCAACAGTTCGATGTTTTTAATCGAACACCAATTAACTTTACTCCATTCAAACAGTTGAAAAAGTTTATTCGGATGATATTATTTTCTATTCATCAAATTTAAATAAATATAAATAAATAAATAAATATATCGACGCTTGAAAGGCAAACGTTACTAAGCGACAATGCGTGAACTTTACAGTAGACTAATTTAAATTTGAAATACCTGAAAAAAATTATATTTTAACGAATCTAGCTGTAGGATTGAAATGATTTTAATAGACCTAGAATTAATTTTTTTTTTGCGCATCGAATATGGTTATTGGCTATCATTTATGTACAAAGCAGTTATTGTCGCTTAGTCACGCTTGCCTTTCAAGCGTCGATATATTTACTAACGATCACGCCACGTTAACTGGTCCCGTGCTAAGTTCGTAAAGCGCTTGTGTTACAGGTACCAGATAATGGAAATAAATGTAAGATTTTTATTATACACACACATATTATATAAAATGGCACTCCTGTATATTTTCAAAAATGTCGCTTAAATCAAATATCCTATCACCCCTAAATATGTACGCGAGCACTCACATTCATGACACAGAGTAGCATGAGGGACAGGAATATGATCTTGATGAGGTGTATGTCGAGGTAGACGAAGACTTTGTCGGTCCAGTGTCGCAGCGCGCGGCGGGCGGCGGAGAGCGCGTCCGCCAGCGCCGCCCTGAGCCCGCTCGACGCCCGCTCCGTCACCGTGGGCGCGTACGAGCGACTGCGCGACGCCTTCCTGCTCGGTTACAGGATTACACAATTCAATAACTACATATGAAGTCGTCGCGGCCTAAAGGATAAAACGTCCGGTGCATTCGTATCTAACGATGCAATGATGTTCGAATCCCGCTGGCGGGTACCAAATTTTTGGTACCACCACCCTGTCTATATCTGCCGTGAAGCAGTAATGCGTTTCGGTTTGAAGGGTGGGGCAGCCGTTGTAACTATACTTGAGACCTTAGAACTTATATCGCAAGGTGGGTTTTTTGTTTTTTTTTGTTTTTTATTGCCTTTGTAGGCAGACGAGCATACGGCCCACCTGATGGTAAGTGGTCACCGTCGCTCATGGTATTTATGGTGGCGGTATTTACGTTGTAGATGTCTATGGTCTCCAGTAACCGCTTAACATCAGGTGAGCTGTGAGCTCGTACACCCATCTAAGCAATAAAAAAAATAAAAAATTAATTAGGGATGACACGTGTAATAAAATGTCTAAGCCCAAAAGCTTAAGTTCAGGCGACCCCTAAGCTGGTTTGATGATCTACACCACAAAAGTCCCACATCCTGACCGTATAAAACATAAAACATGAAGCCTAAAGTATTTGCCTGTGTATAGATCTTCTAGCCCCGTTGTTGACCGAGGACATCTCTAGTGAATGTTCAACTTCCGTCATGCTACCTTCCACAGAGGGCGGCTGCTCTTCTTCTAAAGGAAGTTGAGGAAGCTGAAATATTAAAATAAGTTTTACTGTCGAAGTATATTCGCTACATACTAATAATAATGCAAGCTCTGAAATAATATATGTATTTGTCGGAGAAGCCACAATTATTAACACAATCGTCAGACATCGTAGGGGCGAATATGGTGATCGAGCTAAGAGAAATATTGAGTACACCAATCACGTTTGTTGTCTTTGAACTATTTAGAAATCTTCTCTTGACGTTAGCAAACGAAAACGAATGACAGTTCTTATATTTCTTTAAATTTCTGAACACATAAGTCGATAAAATAAAAATTACGCTAATCCTACTTACGTCATCTTTCATTGTCGAAATGCCGGCTTGGCTCGGTCGACTGGACTCCGGCTCTTTCACTACACTATTGGTTCTGTACAGAAAACAACATTTCGTACTTCAATTTTTTCCTACCTAAGCTGATAGCCTTGAGAGGCTATTTCAGCGTAACCTTAACTAGTAGGTGAGCTCACGGGGCTCAAACCTGACGACGTTGCTAACACGAGCCCTAGCAAGAGTCGTGCTTCGCAGAATCTACCACCGGATCGGAAACGTGACCTGAGAAGATCCGGCGAGAAACTCAGTGGGCTGTGTCTGAGGGTTAATTTACTCGTCGAGCCCTTCGTCGCAAGCGACGGGTTCGACCAGAACGATGACCGGTGCCTGAGGTACGAAGCACCGTTAGTGGATCGGGAGGATCCGAAATGACGTGTTTGGGGCGACGTCGACTGCTTTCCATTCTGTCCGCAGGATCGGGAATGTAGTTACCGGCGGCCACGATGAGAGGGTTCTCATGTCGTGCCGCTGTATCGAAGTGGATTTCGTACTATAATTCGTTTAACGATATCAATATTAATTGAAGACATGCGTGGATGAAGGGGCATATGATACAATTTGTTAATTCTGAGAAAACGGGCAACAAACTTTTGTTACTTGTACTTGTTCTTCGTACATAACTCCTTCATCACATACAATTTCTAAAAATAGCCTTTAAACCCGGAGTTTTAAGGTCTAATATGGTTTATAGACACATAAAGCCTTCATTCAATGTAAAAACTCAAAAATCTTAATAATGGTACTTAACCCCTTCATCCACTCATGTCTTCAGTTGTGACACGGGTTTACCTGGTCTTAGGATCCGAGAGCGCCATGAAGTCTTTGTGGAAATAGTGTACTTGCATTATCGTTATTATCAAGAACAACGTCGGTGTGAGCAATTTGACGAAGAGGTCGGCGGGATGATACGGTTCCAGGCCGAGGTCGTGTTGTCTGAAGGGAAACAAAAAAACATCAAACATACTTCTACTGGTGGTAGGACCTCTTGTGAGTCCGCACGGTTAGGTACCACCACCCTGCCTATTTTTGCCGTGAAGCTGTAATGCGTTTCGGTTTGAAGGGTGGGGTAACCTTTGTAACTATACTGAGACCTTAGAACTCATATACCCATATCTCAAGATGTGTGGCGGCATTTACGTTATAAATGTTTATGAGCTCCAGTAACCGCTTAATACCAGATGGTCTGTGAGGTCATCTAAGCGATGAGAAAAAAAAAGGTAAAGTACCTTGTACTAATAAATGGAAAAAAATAAGTATTTTTTGCAACTTACAATCTCTCATTGATCAGTAGATACTCTTCTATGGTCTTCGAGAAGTTGTCGAATTGATAAACGTATATGAGAATTAGATTGATCATCGAATATATGATGACTGTTATCCAGAACACGTACATTAGTCGGCGCCACCAATACCAACTTATCTGAAATTAAACGTTTCTTATTTTTGTATACGAGCAAGCAATAGCCAAGGTGAATGAGTCCACGGTTAAATTCCAAGTCCTAATTTTTTACTAATGTTCAAACCGAATATACCTCAAAAATAAAACAAAATAATAACATCTTGTACAAATAAATTATAGCTGAAAGTTTTTGTAAGCAATGTGTTATTAATATAGATATGCACTCCTTGGAAAGATATTTCGAGGAGACAACTATGAAATACTTTGTTATTATAGGTGCATTCATAAAAGATTTTTTGGAAGAAACGCATTTGTCGAACTTGTTCTTCCAGATTTGACATTGCTAAAAATCACAACAACATCAAATAAAGGAACAATATTAAATAATAATCTGTTATCGACTCCAAAAAGCGTTCTTCAACTTTCGTTAAAAATTAGGATTATGAAATTAGGAGCATTCTAGAAAACACCCATCAAATCGAGACTCACTTGAAACATGAGAATAAATCCGAGGAACAGGAACATGTATATGATCCGGAAAATGGTCATACGGTCCCCGGTGATGCCGATGACGAACAGCATGATGACCACGACGTAGATCCAGTAGCGAGCGCACATCGCCCGCAGCCACTCGCCGAGCGCGCGCAGCAAGCGGGACCGGCTCTCCTCCTCCCTCTGCGCCTCTAGCACTGCGACGTCAACAATCCACGTTCAGATGCTTGCCTTTTTTTTATACGCTTTTATTAGCTTCAGACGTATGTATGTTAGTATGTAACGGAATCTTTGAAGATGATTTTGACCCCCTTCAAAATGTTGGATTAACTCGAAATTTGGTATACTTATTAAGGACAGATGACAATTCAAAACAAAAAAAAAAAAAAAAATTTAAACTAACAAAATACGCTTTTATAGAAAATCCAATTAAATAATAGAAAATAAATCTTAATAAATTTGAATTAGAAATAGTGTTAGAAAAAATGGTTTTATTGTAAAAAAAGCGTGGGGTGCATTGTATCAGTAGTTATAAATATTTTATGAACAGATATGAGTAGAAGGGTTATTTTGATAATATCCTGAAAAGCACCCCATGCCTTTTTTTACAATAAAATCTTTTTTTCTTACACTATTTTTAATTCAAATTTACTTAAATTTATTTTCTTACCTATTCTAGTAACCTCGAGGGGTTATTCTAGATTCATAGAACTAGTAGGTGAGCTCACGGTCTCAAACCGGGAGTGTTACCAACACTGGCCCTAGCAAGAGCAGTGCTTCGCAGAATCTACCACCGGATCGGAAACGCAACCCACTGAGAAGATCCGACGAGAAACTCAGTGGGCTGATGCTTGCTAGTGTATCTCGACAATGTTTACGTCTCACAAAAAACCAAATATATTTTACTTTGTAAAATAAATCACTGTAGGATTTTCTATAATACAATACAAAACGTTTATCTTGAATCATTGTTCCAATTCATTTAGAAAAACAACATACAAGTAATTTATTTATACTGGATACAATAAATCGTCAAAGTTTACGACGAAAGCAATAATAATTGCTGGTACATATTTTAACGAAACGTAAGTGTGTTTCATGATACAACTTATTTAAATTTAATAACTAAAAATAGTGCTTTAAAAATGTATTCTTGATCCGTGTTGAGTATCAAATTTCACAGTAAAGTGCATTTTTGTTGAATCGTACATAAAAGAAACCAAATTTACCAAGAAAAATGTAATTTTGGCTGTAGGTATTCCAGCATAAAATAAGAAAAAGCGGTGGTTAGTCAGAAGTTGAAAGAATGTCTTATAGATAAATTATATAAAGGTAAGTGATAACTTAGAATTTTCAATCACATAATAACAATGTGTTAAAGAGAATTTTAATAATATCAAAGTGAAGTCCAGAAAATAAGTTAATATAAAATTAATTCAGTACCGTACGCTAGACCTGGCGCAAAAACATTTTAATTATAGAACTCAATACCAACTAAAATTATTTAAGGTAAACATATCTTACAACCTACCCTTACTAAAAAACAGTATGTCTGAACGCGCCACCGAATATTATAAGAAATCCATTGTCATTTAATTGCAATAACGAAAATGCTATCTTTAAATTTATATTTGCTTACAGAGTCTATGGAATTGCGAATAGTCATTCCATGCTCACCACAGTAGTTATTTTATCAATTAATTAGTTAAACCAGGTCACGCTTTGTTGACATTTAAAATATTTAAAATCGATTAATTTAGTGAGTAATATAGTCTTTTTTGGATAGCTAGATATATTGACGAGCTCAAAACCCACCTGATGTTAAGTGGTAACTGGGACTCATACACATCCCAACCAGTGTTCCCAGCCCACTGTTCACCTTTAATCATGCGATCGAAGTTAACTACGCATTGGAATAACGATAACCATGCTTAATTTGGGATACAAAAAAGTGGGAAGGTGGTACCGGCCCGTGTATGATTCACAAAAATATTACATACTACCACTAGTATAAGAATCAATAGCTCGTCTAAGCAAATGCACCGGTGTTCGAATCCCAGGCGGGTACCAATTTTTCTAATGAAATATGTACTCAACTAATGTTTACGATAGAAGGAACAACATCGTGTAATAAAAATGAAACCCGCAAAATTATAATTTGCGTAATTACTGGTGGTAGGACCTCTTGTGAGTCCGCGCGGGTAGGTACCACCGCGCTATTTTTGTCGTGACGCAGTAATGCGTTTCGGTTTGAAGGGTGGGGCAGCCGTTGTAACTATACTTGAGACCTTAGAACTTATATCTCAAGGTGGGTGGCGCATTTACGTCGTAGATGTCTATGGGCTCCAGTAACCACTTAACACCAGGTGGGCTGTGAGCTCGTCCACCCATGTAGCAATAAAAAAAAGAATGCAAAAGCAATCATTTCTCACCGCTAGCAGCAGTGGAGACGGTCAGCTGGAGGGGGGCGGCCATATCTGTTATGACCGCCGATTGTCGTCTCTGTCTGATCTCTTGCACTCGCTGCCGGAGCGTCACCCAGAACATGCACGTGAACAACGCTTTTATCAACAACGGGACACAGGGCTCGCCCTCGGCACGACCCACACCGATCTGACGGAGATTCACTTCCTGTAACACATTATTTATCGAATATGTTAATCGATATTTCATATATTTTAATCGATATTTAAAGTAAACAATGCGTGCGCATTAAAAGTGAGCGTGCATACAAATATACAGAATGACTGGCTGAACAGACGTTGTTTTGCCATATACATTATTTCTAGGATTTTTTTTTTACGCGGACCACCCTTAACATTTAATGGTAGGAAAAATAGATTTTGTACCCGATGTGCACACAAAATTTCAAGAGAATCTGTTGAGCCATTTCAGAGGAGTTTGGCAAAAAACACTACGACACGTGAATTTTATATATTGCGGTAATCGGTAAAACGGTACATACACATTGATAAAATGATTTAAGTCCAACCGAATATCCTTTATAAACGCGTTGACAAATAGACTAATAAAAAAGAAAAATAGACCTTATTACAACTTTGCCTAAATCATGGTGTTAAATGAAATCGCCTAGGAACGTATCCCCCCATAAACCCCCCAAATAAATTACCATTCCATATTCATGGTTTCTGTATTCGCGGCATATTTACAGAACACATACCCCATGAATAAAGAGCTTTTACTTTATGCTGTTTAAGACAAACGATGGCGGTAACTTTTTTTTGTCTGTCCAATTACTACCAGTTTTATGTAGGTTAGTTTTTTCATCAGCCTAATGAGCCGTTCACTATTTATTATGGCAAATGCGAATTGATACTAATTGAAGTAGCTAACTTAATGACTTAGAGGCACTGAAGACAGACGTTGGGCAACTGATAATATGTATTACAAAAGCAAATCAGGGTCTCAAGCCCATATCTGCTAAATTAATTCACATTAATAACACATTATTATTATTTGCATTAAAAATCTCTAAATCCAATTGATTATAACAAAATGAAAGACCAACCGTTATATTAGATGGCAATTCCGACTCTAGCAGGTTCATTCCGTAAATGTATTGCGCGAGGAGCAGTAACATTGCATAGCACACCAGTATAGGACTGGTCTTCAACATGAACGATCTCTGATCCTGACACAGCCACACTATGTTGGCCCACATCAGGAACACGAACGTCAACCAAGAATGAAACATGATGCTCCAAGCCATCATCGTTATTGTTGTCGCTATATATGAGGACCTGAAATTGGAATTCCTTAAATTGTGACACAGTATCTGTCACATTTTCTTTATGATTAAACTTTCTAAATGCTATTTTTGCTAAGTAAATAAAATGAACCATTTAGAATTAAGAAGTTGAAGGTATTATACTTGTAGAACAAGAGAACTATACTATGTATAAATCGGTACCGTGTGTTTAAAGTTGGGTGTTTAGTATAGTCTCATCGGCCGAGTAATATCCCGCACTTATTCAGAAGTTTATTTAGACAATTTCCATATGAACCCGATAGTATTCGAGATGTGTAAATTGATAGTTCAAGCCCTAGTCATTTGTTCGCCACTAGCCTCAGATAAAGACGAGCGCCCCTATTTATTTTTGTTAAGAGTTTTTAAATATGCGATTTTATTATTATAAATAAAGTTTAGTCTTTTGAGGTCTCAACCCAACGGATCTAAATACTCATAGAGGGCTCTAGAGTAAGGCCTTGTAAAGTTTGGTTAACATTAACGTTAATTTTGTAACTAAGATTATAAACAACAATATATCATTTAAAGTAATAATAATAGTGTAAAATTTATATGTGTGTAATTTTACCTGATCAAGACTTGGAAAAAATCAATTATCGCAGCGATAATGTCATCCAACAGAGTGGGTTCCTCTTCTTCTATTATAGATTCTGTATAAAGTTATTTATTTCATTACAATCTACATCTTTTCTAATTCTTTAATTTTGTTTAAAAAAATTATCCAATATCTCAAGAACATCATAAACAGATAAATCAACGAGAATTTAATATTTTCATCAGAGTATACTTAATCATCGTCACACATTTAGTTGGAAAAAATAAAATTTCAGTTACTATATTATGTAAGATTTTTATGACAAGGGTCCGTTGCGTAAACTTAAATTAATTATATCAATGCATTAACTTACCTTCATCCGGTACTACCACAGACCCAGTAGAATCTTGGTGCAGCTGTCTTGTTACGGATCCAGAGCGCATACTTGACCAACGCTTATTCGGACTTATATTCCGCATTAGCTATATCCAAATTAAGTACTATTAATATAAAATAATCAAATGGAAAACAGCTCTGTGTTTATGTGTATTTCGTTTGAATTAAACTTTTTTCAGCATGTGCAAAACCTTGACGCACCCACACTTTTATTTCGATAGTGATCTTGTTACAGTAATTTATTAACATCTAGTTTTTAGTGAATTAAATATTTCATACGTACCTACCATTTAAAAAACCAACAGAATGCATAGTGTAATTACTCTAGCATAAACAAACATTCCACATCAGAGTTACAGTGAACACGACACGTAAATGACATTAACTTGTGCAGTAAATTATTTAAGTGATTAAAGCGAAACGAACACGAAGCTGTTTAGGTCGAATTGTCATACAAATATGTTTAGACCTAAACATATGATCAGAAAAATGCGCGGCTAATTATCGAATTATTTTAACTTGTTTCTTGCAGATAAACTTGTTCCCACATTTAACAATATGATATGATAAAGAAAATACCTACAGGGGCGGTCTCACTGGCATTCCCACGTAGTAGTGCTTTTGAATTTATGTATGAATATGCCTCCTACAAAAGAACGAAAGCAAATTGCAAAAACGAATAGAATAAATTTAGATAATGCATAAAAACTTCAGTCAAATCCCTGCAAATCCAAATGTGAGTGTTAGCACATGCGCATGACTTTATTATTCATAATAATGTCATCAGAGGTTTGTGGTTGTGATTATGACTTGTGACTTATACTACGAAATATAACGAAAATACCATAATATTTACATTAACTATAGATGCAAATTTGAAAATAAAACAATCTACACAACTAGATGCATGCAGTCAAACAAAACCGATAAAATAACTATTTCGTAGTGGCTCGTAGTGGATCGCATACATCGTGTAAGCTTGTAGTGTAGTGTGTAAGCTACATTTCTAGCACTCTTAACATAAAACAGGTCATCTGCTAATTTACTTTGTCTGACGTGAATAAATGTTTTTTGTTTTGTTTCAGACCATTAAATACATTTAAACATATTTCTACATGTTCAATACAAACAGGAAAATCAATGGAGAATTTCGTTTCATGTTATTCTTCTTTAAAATATTCCTGGTTATTATCGTTACATTACAAAGTTTATTGTGTTTTATTAATTTAAATAAATACTTCTAAAGCTAATCAGGTTATAAAATAACTTGATGCTTAATAACATCTAATACATAGTACACGACTATTGGCCACTACATTACACGATGACTTCATTTACAAAGTACAATGTTGGAATATCTACAGTGGTGCTTGGAAGTTGCTCGCGTAAGGCTTACTCGGACTTTTTTAGTGGCGTTCATCCACTTGTCGCGGGCGCCTCGCCGGCTGCCGCGGTGAAACGACACCCCTCGGACCAGAGACCCGTTCAATTTGCCACCCTCTACACCGGTCAGGGCGCTCTTTTTTTTCGCCTACATCCACATATACAACAGCAACGGTTTATAAATTGACCAATCAAAACGTCGATTTCTCATATGATATAGTTTTAATAATAATAAAACTGTAGATTGAATGTCGTTGAGATGTTCTACGAGTATTTTCGAACGACACAAACTTGTGCTATGTCATAAATTTGAATAACACTATTTTACAAAACGAATATCAGGTTACTTTAATAATTAAAAAAAAAGAAAATACCTCACCAACAACGCTTTTGCGGTTGTTAACAATATTGTTTAGTTTATACATTTCATTACATTGGTATCGCGGCTAAAATAAAATTCTCACCCTTAACTCACTATATATGTACATGAACTGCAGCTCGGTATAAAATGCCAATCCAGCATTGAACTGATAATGAATTCAACTAATCCCAATTAGAAATTATTGTAACAAAGCGTTGGAATTAGTAATTGCAGAATTAGTATTTATGTCAAACTAATATCATTCATACTAAGGTTTATTTTCAAGTTTACCTTGGGTTTGAAGAGTTCTCGTGTCTCGATGGCTAGAACATAATACGTGACGAGTATAACCAGTGGACTGGCTAGAGTTGCCCACATATGATCATCTGTCACTTCATATATGAATCCCATTGGATTTTTTTCGGTAATAATCACCAATTTCGTCAAGCCAAAGTACCTGTTTGAAACATTTGAAATTTTATATACATATGTATACTACTACATACTATACAATAATACAAATTGTTACTTGTTATACAAATTGATTTTAATCAACAAAAATTAACAAACAAAGCCAATAAATAGCAGGTTATGTAATCATAAAATATTCACAACCAAGGACAAAGAGCAAACCAGACCTTTCAGAGACACGACCTTCAGAAAGGCAATATTAAGTTTTCACAAATTCTAAATAATAATCACAAAATAGATACGATAGATATATGGCAGTGAAAAATAGATTAATGTTAAAGTTTGACCAACCATAGGCGTTATGGTAAAGTACATGCTTTAACATCGATTTTATTTAAGCATAAGCAACAGTAACTAATTCGGATACGAACCTTGCAAAGTCCATTTCAGGGGGATATAGTTCTATTAGCCATGAGCACTGGTAGATAAGCAAAACCATTATGTGTGTCGCCATTATGGCCATGAGACATCTTCCAACAACGGCAAAGCCCTTCTCCAAGGGACGACCAACGGCCCAGGCAGTAGCCGCACCCATAAACACGAGAAAGTAAATTCCCGATGTAACACTAGGCCGCATTATCCCGGAGAACATTATAAGGAATAAACACAAGTATTTTCCTGAAACGAATAACATGGTTACTATTTTTTTCATATAAAAACAATCCAGTTTAAAATTAGCAATAAATGGTACTATCGACTTTTTTTTAGATGGGTGGATGAGCTCAAAGCCCACCTGGTGTTAAATGGTTACTGGAACCCATAGACATCCACAACGTAAATGCGCCACCCACCTTGAGATATAAGTTCAAGGTCTCAAGTATAGTTACAACGGCTGCCCCGCCCTTCAAACCGAAACGCATTACTGCTTCACGGCAGAAATAGGCAAGGTGGTGGTACCCACCCGCGCGGACTCACAAGAGAGGTCCTACCACCAGATTATGTAAGGTTTATGTAAGGCCGTCATTGTTTTTATAACTTGCTGTTCACAGAATCCCAGATGTGACACATAAATGTAACATACGGAATGCAGGAGAACAATTCTCAAAAACGAGGACAGGTAGATTTGGTTAATCAAACAATAGTAACGTAAAGATTCTTAAAAAAAATATTATGCTTGCGATTGTAGCTTTACGCGCGACATATCAATATGAAATTGAAAGTTGGTAGCGTCATCTGTTTTTAAGATTAACAAAAATATTTTAAACATGAAGTTCAATTAAAATCGATCTAACGATCTCGTTTTTGTTCTATACAGTTAGGAAAACAAACTTACAAACTCACCTGACTTTAACTAAATATTATAGTTACCGGAATCTACAAAAAAATGCAAATGCCGCTATCCACCATAAGACATGAGGTCAAAATGATAGTTGTATTAAAATGTAACGATGATCTATCAATTTTTGAAACTCAACGTTTATGTATTTTGCGGCAGAAATATTTTACTCTATCGTATCGTATCTTACCCGTGCCAGTCACAAAACCCCCTATTATCTTAAAAACAGCAGCAATTACGTCAGTTTATAAAAAAATGCAGAATTCCTTTTTGGAACTACTTATATTTTTTTAAAAACTATTTCGTAAGATGTTGCAGAAAGATAAACGTTGTACACAAATTGATTATTATATATAACGTGATATCAATCATCGTATTTTAATGAGTTCAATTGCTACTGTTATATATTATCAGTTATCGTACAGGTCTTTGTGTTTATAAGAGTAATAAAGGGTTCTAGGTCAAGTAAACATACACAGGTTGCGATATGTTATAAATGATATTTTTAGAAAATAAATTGTTTCAATATTCTAGTGTTATGACGTTTCCAACCATTAAAATTGAGACTTCAACTTCATGTCTAAGCTTAACACCACACCATGAGCTTGTCTATAAAGCTTTAAAAAAACTTCCTAACTTAAATTATCTACACTAGAATAAAGTGATTATTAGTACATTACCTGCACTTGTTAGAAGTGGATACCGTTGATGTTTGAAATCTTTCTTCTGTAGTTCAGGATCGGGCACATTTGATAATTTCCTTACTAGAATGTACACTACCAATGATGATCCCGTCATGACAAGCTAAAATTCATAATCCAATTTCAATAGTATCTATTCACACTAGCCCTGTGATGCTCTAGCGTAATATCTTACCTCTGGTGCCAAATAATGGATGGCCATTAGAGCCTCTATGCCATCATACGACACGAGACCGAGATTATGTCCGATATCACGTATTATAGGATAATCGTTTAGAAGAGAGCCGTATGGTGTAAAAGCCGCCAGGACGCTGTGCCATACAGCGTGACATAGCAGCAGGAGGAATGAAACGACCACATTCAGAAGTAGATATTTTCCTCCCCATCCTGCACATATTATTAACTTAATATAATTTTGTTCATCTTCAATTTTTCGTCTTTCTAATTAGAAATATGCAAAGGATTAATTATTTTCAACTTATATATTTCCTATCGTTTTATCATATAATATTTTCATCTATCTAAGTATGTATTTGTGCTTTTCATAGTTTTACATATTTTCATACTATTACTTATTACGCTTTCGTGCTACTTATTGTATCAATTACGGACTACAAAGTAAATTTCATTAAAATACTATGTTTTTAATTTAAAAAAAGCCCGCATATTTCGTATTTGTTTTTATAGGTTGAGAAATGAGAACAGCTAATCTACATAATATATTACATTGATTTCCAAGGATGTCCACTTTGTAATTGTTACAATCGCGTAGTCGTCATCACTTCAGCCATAAAAACCTTTTCGATGCCTCCAATGAACACTACTCTAACTCCAAATTCGTATGTTTACAGGAAGAGAGTTTAAACGAAAAAAGTTGATAAATATATCTGCAATAATAAAGATTTTATGTTTTTTTCTTGTGTAATTAGCTGATTTACTCTTGCTTCGAACCCTATTAATAATGAATTTGTAATACTTTTAAAATAGTGAAGCGATTTGCGTGAAAAACGAAAATTTCAAAATTTTGAGTTAGACTAGTGTTCATTGGAGGCATCGTTTTGATAATGTTAATATAAACTACGATATGAAAATTCCCAATATTTTTTCTTCGTATACAACAATTTCTTACCCGAGAACGTTTGAGAATCGGGTATTTGCGTCAGCGGCGCTAACAGGTAGAGGAGAAGATATAATAACGAAAGCCCGAAAGGTCGTAATGCTATACCTGGGAACAAAATAAAAAAATATATTAATCGTCGTCGTGACCTAAAGAATAAGACGCCCGGTGCATTCGCATCGAACCATACGACTGTGCCGAATCCCGCAGATACATACCCATTTTCCTAATGAAAAACGTACTAAGCAAATGTTTTCGAATGATTTCACGACTGACACGGCGAAGGAATAACATCGTGTCGTAAAAATCAAACCCACAAAAATTAAAAATTTCGTAATTACTGATAGTGGCGAATTCTTATAAGCCCGCTTGGATAGGGAAAACTACCATCTTGCATATTTCCACATGAAGCAGTAATGCGTTTTGGTTTGAATGGTGAGGCAGTCGGAGACATTTAGGTTATTGATGTAGTACACATGTGGGCTCCGGTAACCACGTTTATCTAAGCAATAAAATAATAAAAATATCTGTAATAACAATTACAATTGATAAATTATATAAAAATCTTTATAAAATTAGAAAGTAGTTACATTCTAATACTAATTGTTTATGGTTGAGTAAACAGAACGTTTGAAATAAAGCTGAATAATATAAGTTTATACATAAAATTTATTAGACTCCAGTTATTTTAAAAACTAAGATATGTACGAAAAATAAAGCGGTAGCCCGATTGAAACTATACTACTACTCATATAACTGAACAAGAGAAAGTCACAGACATGAAACAATAAATCACAAGCCCGTGGCGTAGTCGTTCGCTTCACGCAGTTTTTATTAAAAGCTCTAACCTTTTTTGTAATCTACTGTATACCTATACTTACTATAGAACAAGTATTCGAGCAGTACGACCTACAGAATGTACATGTGTTCTTGACCTATAAACATGGTGGATAACTAAAAATTCCATTTACGTACGCGTAAATATTGATTCAGTAATTGTTTACTGTTTCTGCCAACAAAAATATTTAGATATTATACTTCATTTGCGTGTTTTGCTTATTTGATGAACATAAATAATAAAACTCGACAGTTTTGTTACAGGAACTCGTTACTTTTTTTTGTTTCACTCGTCGACGGATAGTCTGAGTCACTAATGAATGAAACCTAAAAAGATAGTAACTTGTAAGAGCAATAGTGTAAAAGCACCTTTGTGGTTAAGCCGCCCTAAATGCCAGAGTAACATTTAGAATACGTTCCGCTGGTTTTATACGTTGTCCCATTTGTTTAACCTACTTACTATAAAACTAACAATCGACTTCTTACAACAAAATAGAACGAGCCTTTTTCGTCATCCGTGACCAAGAAAACTGTAAAGTATTCGAAAAGTTCGAAATAAAATAATAGTAAAAAGCGCGAATATAAACCTTAAAAGTAGTTTTAATCAGTTCTACGACACACGAAAACATAAAAAAATACAGAATATAGCCTTTTTGACATTCCTACTCATCCAATCGTTCGCTCATTGCTGAGCACCATGATGACTTGATGAGCCCGCCTGAGACCTTTCTTGTGATCTGTAACCACTTATGTCGGTCAATGGCATAGTGAAGTGCGTCGCTTAATCTCTTGTCTCGTTTTTGTCATTAAATAAGGTATTAATTTTCATTCCTGATCCTGCGGACAGAATGGAAAGCACTCGACGTCGCCCAAAACACGTCATTTCGGATCCACCCGATCCACTAACGGTGCTTTTAGGTACCTCAGGCACCGGTCATCGTTCGTCCCTTCGTCGCAAGCGACGGGCTCGACGAGTAAATTAACCCTCAGACACAGCCCACTGAGTTTCTCGCCGGATCTTCTCAGTGGGTCGCGTTTCCGATCCGGTGATAGATTCTGCGAAGCATGGCTCTTGCTAGGGTTCGTGTTAGCAATGTCGTCAGGTTGAGCCTCGTGAGCTCACCTATTAGTTCAGGTTACGCTGAAAAAGCGTATCAAGGCTCACAGCTTAGGTAGGGATAAAAAAAAGGTATTAAAATGCAATAAATATATTATTATGAGTGTGCAAAACCTTAACTTTTTATTCCCATCTACATGGCTCCGAGCACTCGGACCACTAGGCGTTGAGTGGTAGGGAATATGGGAACTTTTAGACCATTTTGAAATATGAAGCCAAAGTCTCTAGTTACATAATAAATACAACGGTTGTCCTTAACTATTCCGTGGGATGTCCCATTCTTGAACAGGAACAGAAGGTTTCTTCGCGAAAAAATTGACAGAATATATTTCTGCCTGTAAATATTACTATTTAAAATCCACAAAACGAATATCTTGTTAGGCATAAAACAAAAGTATTGCCCGTGTAGGCAGACGAGCATACGGCCCACCTGATAGCGAGTGGTTACCGTCGCTCATGGACGCCAGTAATGCCAGGGGCAGAGCCAAGCCGCTGCCTACTTTTGAATATTTCAAAATTTTCGACTAACTGTAAAGTTTGTGAGAATGTCTTGACAGATTCGAAAATCGTCATTTATATATAAAAAGAAAGAAAAACTGTTTTTATATTCGTAGTTCTTATCCATTTCCAAACAATATATATAAAAATTACATAGGCACTATTGATACTCGGAATTGTTACTCACAAATTACGTGTGTGTATCGAATTAGCATAGTACTAAATGTACTAATGAATTTACGGTCATCGGCGTTTTTATAAATAATATTGCTCATGAAATTCTTTAGATTCATCATGGACATGTGAATCGACAACAAACGCTATTATCAAGGCAAGACAAGATGTTTTACAAATAATAAACTACTTTGTAAAAATTAAAGCAAGGCTAGCATGATAATTATAATTTGGATTACGAGTTTATGATCTTTATCATTAGAAGGGTTGGTCTTGAATAGAGCTGCTTGGAAATATTTACTAAGCCAACGCGAGGACCTCAATCATACGTAAATAAACCTTACATGCCCATTAAACCAACTCTATACACGAAACTATACATAAAACCATAGATAAAATGAAAATAAAAATATTCAAATACAATGACAGACAACAATGGATCCAAGGGGTGTCTTATCGAAAGTGTTACACTGAACACAATAATGTTAATTTATCTTCTAGTTTTCTTAAAATTTACGTTTGAATTTTACTGAAAGCATTCCACACGATTATTATAAAAAATAATAAAAAAACATTAAATCAATAGTGAAAATAGTTAATTGCGAATAAAATTAAAGTAATGGAAATTACTAGCGAGCTTTTACGTTAATAACTTTAGTGAATTTTTTTTATAATTATTGCAGTGGATATTCTTTTATTCTATATAAATGTTTACAATAATTTTCAAATCAAGCAAGGAATGAAATAAGACAATTGTATTGCATTGATGCATACGTATCGCAGACACTTAATATATAATATATTGCATATTTGATATCTTTATCAGATTTGACATAACGAATTTATATCCTTATCGAATACATAAGATAATCGGCAAAGCTATCTGCGAAAATGCATGATAGACAATCTAAAATAACCAATGAAATACTGTACCTTGTATGACATACTACGGTACTAGTATTATTGATCATTTATTTGTCCACTGAATACCACCAAGTTTGCGTCAATTCTACTTATCGGTGCCTTATTAAACTTTTTAGTATTATTTTTCAGTTATTAATTAAAAATAGATTTCAAAAAAATAATACGACTATACTCTTGCATCGAATTAATAACAGTCTGAGATTAATCACTCTGCTGCATTTTTTTTTTTTAAATAATCATATAGTTGACTCAAAACTTCCACACATATGTAAGATATATTACAAAAAAAGATACATCGTGTGAATGTATATTATATTGAGGCCTGAGTGAGCATTTTATTGATTACTAATCTACTATGGAAACAAACTTTTTACAATACACTTTTAATTTTAAAATATGTACTCAAACGCAGTAGTTATCTTAAAACCATATAAAATCAAGACATGAAACAAATTTCAATGAGATATACTAATTCGGTTTCGAAAGTAGGCTGTCAGTATTGGTGAGTGTACAATTAACAACAAACTATTACACAATTTTCATTTCAATACATCGCTAGATGAGCTCGCAATGCATCAGCTGTATGTTGCCAGAGAGGGGTACATCGCATACAAAAGATAATAAACCTTAATAAAATATATTGAATTCGTAGTGTCACACTTAAACATTTACGTTGAAATGTATCTATGCTTAATGTTCAATAAAATAAAATACAATGCATTATCACTTTAATGTGAACCCTTTAATACAATCACGTAACTTATTATTTTATATCATATCAAAATACCTTCTTCTTACTTTTTACTTCTGAGCTTTCAATAATGCGTCTGTCTATAATAATATAACTTCTTAATTAAAAACAAACAGTGGATTTAAAAAACCCACCTCAGGTAATATTCCTGTTCTATATTTTAGTCAGCAGTAACCTACACAATAGACAAACTTCTTCGTTTGGATTATTTTGAAATAAGAATAAAAGTGAAACTTCCCGCCACGCAATCTTACGAATATGACTGAAACCCAAAAAAAATAAGTAGACCGAACTTCTATAAAGTTTTAAGTGATCAATTTTATTACATCACAGACGAGACTCGGTACTCTAAAATAGGTCACAACTCAGTATGTTGCATTTTTTCATAATTTTACCTACGTACAATAAACTAGTAGATCTATACCTATCGCTACCGTACACTATCTATCTATAAGTGAGTATAACTTTTTATATTGTTTCAATAGAAGTCAATATCAAATATGCACATCATGAATGAAATTACCAATATTCAATAGAGTTAATCGTACTGCGTGGTAAAAGACGGTGAATGTTGATTCTAGTGAAATAAACGGTTGAGTTGAGAACGCGTCTGATGGCCATGTGTATGCAATATTTACGTCGACCGCAAAGCTACAAACTGATATCGGTTGAGTCATTTTTTCGACTTTTCAAGAATTTTTTGCTACAAATATATCGAATTTAACGTTTAAACGTAATTTAATTTTTAGAACTTTAATGTGCAAACGAGAACTTGAAGAGCCTCAGCCAAACAGCGGCATGGCTGTG